AGGTTTAACATACAAAATTTTCACATACAAATCCAGGTTTCCGGTTTCTCTTGAAAATCAGAAGAGCTGGCAACATTTGACTGCTGTCCCTCATGGCTCAGTACTGGTGGACACTTGTGATCCTTTTGGCTGCCAGCATTTGAACCCCTTTCCTATTACTTAGGGATGTCACCAGTTCACAAGTCTTGGTGGGAGGCAGATGTCACTTCCCACTACTCAAGCTATATACCTGGTACTCACTGGCACATGACCCAGGCCTGGCTAATTAGGCATGTCTCCCCAGAGTTTTGTTGTTGCTGTTGTTTTAAAACATTTTAGTCTGTACTGGAGTATAGCTGATTAACATTGCTGTGATAATTTCAGGTGAACAGCAAAGGGACTCAGCCACGGGTCACTGGCCTTAGGAAGACTTCAGTAAAGGAGAGAATTGGTGAATTCTTTCTGATAATAGAAATGGTGAAAGCAACATCCAGTGAGTAGGTGCAGTAGGGTCCAATGGTAAGTAGCAGAAAGAGTTTCCTTATTGGCTTGGCCCTGTGGAGTAATTTTGACCATGGTTCCAGTTCCATGGCCTGTCTTTGTTCCATTTTCCAAGCAGGGTTCTCCAGGATTCTTACTGACTGTGAGCTATCCAATATTTCATTGCTACAATCCTTTTCTGCTTATATCTTTCATGTACAAACTCTGCTCCCTTTGAGGCAAGGCATAGAGTCCACCCAAACTTCTTCCTTTATATATTAATTTCAGGCTGCTCATTAGATATGTGAGCTTGGAACTTACATTTTCTCTCTTTCTCTTTGAAGTTATAGAACTTTGTCACTAGGAGAAAAGCTAAGGATCATCTAGTGCAACAATGAGCAAAGTAAAGAGAAAAGTTTCCCAGAGGTGCCTTCCCCACCCAACGGCATTTCCTCTTATATTTCATTGGACAGAACTGGGTCACATGTTATGCTTTAAACCAATCAGAGAACTAGGGTCACTGTGATTAGCTCAGCCTAAGGAAGTAGTCCAACTTTGGCTGAATATTAGAGCAACTGAGCAGTTTTTTAAGATGCCAATGCCTGGTGGCACCCTCTAGGCCAAACTAAATTGATCTGACTGGACTTCTGGTATTGGAATTTTGTAAAAAAAAAAAAAATCCTGTGGTGCTTCTAATATCAACCCTCTTTCTAGTTCAGCCCCCCTAACCCCACCCATTTTACAAATGCCAATACTGAGACCCAAAGAGATACTAAGTTGCCTAAAGGACTGTGTCTTCAATTAATAGCAAAAACAGACACAAGCAAGACCACACACACATACACACACACAGAGAGAGACAGAGAGAGAGAGAGAGAGAGAGAGAGAAAGAAGTGATATTTACTAAGACAGCTTTGTTTTTCCAAAATATGCATGTGAGTACCCATTCCTTTTCTTAGAAAGTGAAGTCCTGAGGAGCTCAAGGACTGAGAAGCAGTAGAGTGTAAGGCACTGTTTATCAAATTTGAGCACATCAGAATCCTCTGGAGGGCTTGTTACAATAGGGTGGGCTGAGCCCACCCCCAGAGTATCAAATTCAGTGGTTTTGGTTGGGGAGAGGGGGTGGATAATTAGCTTTTCTAACCAGTTCCCAGGGGCTGCTGCTGCTGCTGGTCTGGTGACTACACTAGCCACTAGCAGAGTGGCTAAGACTTTGGCTATAGAATCACACCAAGATCCAGTTCTGCCCCTTACACCAAGTCAGAACATGGGCAAGTTACTTAACATACCAATAAAATGGAGTCAATAACATCAGAAGACTGGCCATATGGCAACAACTAAATATGAACTTAGAATGTAAAGCAATCAGAACAGTGTCTGGCCCACAGCAACTGCCTAATGAACATTAGCTATTATCATTCATTCTTTCCTTCATCAAACAATTATAAATTGAGTCTTTCCTTTGAGAAATGCACTGTTTCAGGCACCAGGAGTACAGTGGTGAGGAAAGCAAAGCCTTGCCTTTCAATGAGCTTACAATGCACTGAGGAGGAGCATGATAGATGACCTTGTAAATATATAGTATGTTACACAGAGGAATTTTGCATTCCAAGCAAACAATATCAGTTGTACACAGAGCTTTATGAAAACTTGGTCCAACCTTGTTCACATTTTCCAGCTCAAGGAGGCGGTGGCGATGTTTCTAATGCAAAAACCTCTTAGCAGCATGGCTCTTACCATGGCAGCTGAATAAAGCTCAGGTTATGGCTTTTTCAGTCAGGTTCTCCAGAGAAACAGAAGCAATAGTGTATATGTGTGTGTGTAAAATTTAAATTTACACTGCTGTATAAAGAATGTTCAAATATAATTTGGGAATTCCCTGGCAGTCCAGTGGTTAGGACTCTGAGCTTCCACTGCACAGGGTATGGGCTTGATCCCTGGATGGAGAACTAAGATCCCACAAGCCAAGTAACATGGCCAAAAAAAAAGTATAAAAAAATATGATTTATATTTTACTTGTACTATATATTTATGTAGATTTTAAAATACTCTATTTTAAATCACTAAAATGTACTGCACGAATTAAAGGACCAAAGGAATTGAAAAGAAAGCAAAACTTGCACAAAATCCTGACCCTGAGCAGCTTCTAACATTTTTAACAAATTCCAAGTCCATCAAGATCAAGATCTTTGACACCGAGTGCTCTCTCTCACTTTGCCCATCCTCAGGAACAAGGAAAACAACAGCTCTAAGATGTATCATGAGAGACCAGAGTAGATGAAAGAAATAACTTGCCTCCTCCCCCTGAATAGATACAAGGTTGTCACTGACACCCCAAAGATTTCCCCCAAATAATGCCGCAGGCATAAGGATAAGACAGAAATTTGGCAATCAACTATTCTTACTTAACTCTATGTTTACTGGGTGAGGAACTCCATCAAAAGAATTAGAATTAATCAACCAGTTCAATGAAGCTGTAGGATATAAAATCAACATTTTATATACTAACAATAAACTACCAAAAAGAGAAACAGAGAATATAATCCCATTTCCAACTGCATAAAAAAATAATAGAAATGCATTTACAAGGAGATGAAAGATCAATACAGTGAACACAACACATTGATAAAAGAAACTGAAGAAGACACATATAAATTGAAAGATATTCAATTCACAAATTAGAAGAATTAATATTCTTAGAAAGTGCATCAACTCAAGGCCATCTATAGATTCAACACAAGCCCTAGCAAAATTCCAATATTTTTCACAAAAATATAAAAAAAGCAGTCCTAAAATTTGTATGGAATCACAAAGGACCCTAAGAGAAGAACCAAGTTGACAGCATCACAATTCCTGATTTCAAACTTTATTACAAAGCTTTAATTATCAAAACACTATAGTACTGGCATAAAAAAAAAAAAGACAGGCCAATGGAACAGAATCAGCAGCCCAGATACATATATGATCAACGAAGGAAATGGCAACCCACTCCAGTACTCTCGCCTGGAAAATCCCATGGACTGAGGATCCTGGTAGGCTACAGTCCATGGGGTCACAAAGAGTCGGACACAACTGAGTGACTTCACTTTCAATACTTGTCAAAGAATCAAGAATACAATACTCATTGGATAGTTTCAACAAAAAATAATGTTGGAAAAACTGGATATCCATATGATAAAGAATAAGGTCATTATACTAAAGGGAATAAGTCAGACAGATGGACATTGTCACATCACAGCCCCATCTGACCCCCTTCTGACTCCCCAGGCAGGGACCAGGGTGAAGCCATAACTGTCATTTTATATTTGCCCTCTGTCCCTCTATTCTGCCCCTAAAATGGGTGACAGTGTGGTAGTAAGAGGCAAGGAGCAGCTACTTCTAAATCAGAACACTTGTAATCCTGGGTCAGCCTCCTCTCCTCTCAGGATTGTTGTCTTTCTCAGCATGGCAAAAAAAGAGAAAAAACACAGGGACTTCCCTGGTGATCCAGTAGCTAAGAATCGGAGCTCCCAATGCAGGGGCCTGGCTTCCATTCCTGGATTCCACATGCCACAACGAAGAGACCGCGTGCTGCAACAGTGACCCAACAGGTGGCAATGAAAATCTTGCGTGATACTACGTGCCACAACTAAAACCCAGCGCAGCCAAAACAACTTATTTACGGATATAATACACACTTATTGCTGGGAACTACAGACCAGCAAAAGAGAAAACAAAAGTGGTTCATAATCCCCTCACCTCAGGAAAAAATACTAACATTTTGATTCCGATTCTCCTCAGCAGCTTCACGTCAGAGGGACCCTGTCCTCTCCGCTTACTAACTAGCCCTTTCCAGTTACACATATTAACCTGACGGGAAGTTACTTATTATTTATTTTTTTCTCTCTGGAGTTGTTTCTGGAGGTCGGTTCTGTAAATTTTGTTGGGTGAGGGGCACAGATTTGAGAGACGGACTGAAGTTGGAGTTGTGCTTGGAGTTGTTTTTCAATTTGAAGTGCTCACCTCTTAGCTTTGGGGCCAAAAAGTATTTCGAGCCTTGTTTCTTATGGAATCTGTATTCAAGAACTGGTCGTGTCATTTGGGGTTGTTTTACCTCAGAATTTTTTAGCGCTGGCAGCTTTCCGTTCCTTTGAACGGTAACAGCTAGAACTTTGGTGACGACCGGAATTGGCTTTGGCCGCGAGACTTTAACCTGTAATGACGACTGGTGGCTGTAGGGGGTGGCCGTGCCTCTCCAGCGCGCGCTCCCACTGGGTTCAGGACTCTGGTCCACACCGGGGAGGGCAGCTCCACACACTAGAGAAGGGCGGAGTTGGCGCGAGGCGTCCGGCCGGGCCTGCCGGCAACCAGGCAACAGGGGCCTCAGCAACGGGGAGGGGGCGGGACCTAGGGAGGAAGTCCGAAGGCCACTAAATCTCGCGAGAGTTGCGTTTGCGCGCGAACTCTAAGTGCAAGGGTGCCCGGGTCTGGTTGCGGTTCTTGGCGAGGTGCGGGCCTCTGGGGTACGCGACAAGCCCACCGGTCACCGTCATCACCCCGTTATGGAGATCTCAGCGCACAAGCAGCAGCATCCTGAGGCGGCCAAAATCAGAAACCTGCCCTGGTAGGAGGGGGCCCAGCTGCTGCGGGGAAGGGGATCGGCCGAGTGAACAAGTGGGCCAGTCTCCAGCCCGACCTCGCCCCGCCGTTCCCGGACTTGAGGCCGGGGTGGAGCCACAGAAGTTCACCTCCCCTCAACTCGCCAGTCCCGCTCCATTCTATTTATAACTGGCTAGGTCTCCCTTTACCCGCAGCCCTGGGCCCCCTTTCCTGTTGCGGAAGCGGAAAACGGCTTCCCCAGCTGGGTGACAACACAGAGGTTCGATCCCGTGTCTTCTGACATTGCCTTGGCCTCTGTGGCAGAATATTCTCTCTTGCCAAAATAGCCTCTAATCTTGGTGCGATTACTGGTCACATTCTAAGCTAGAGTAATGACGGTGATGACAGCGCTTCCTAGTTAGCTTTCATCTCAGTGACTTTGTTCCACGCACCCTGTTAGATGTTGGAATTTGGCAAAGACCCTAGGAAGAAGGTACTGTTATTCCAGCTCTACCAAAAGGTTAAATGATTTGCTTAAGGTCTAGAGTTGGAATATAGGTTTGGATTTGAACCCAGGTGGTCCAGATTCAGAGCTTGCACTCTTAGCCAGTCTGCTTCCACAACTGTGTCTTAGTGTTGTTTTAAAGACTGATGGGATTTGGCTTGATTTTGGAAAACTCTTGTTTCTTTTTCAAAAGTTTTCAAGATAATGAGTTCAGTTTGTTGTCACTATAGTAAAAATACATAACATACAATTTAAAGTTGTAACCATTTTAAAATGTACAGTTCTGTGGCATTAAGTGCATTCAGAATGTTGTGTGATCATCCACTATCTAGTTGCAAAATTTTTCATATACCTCAAATGGAAACAATATACCTATTGGCAGTCACTCCCCATTCCCCTCTCCCTCAGCTCCTGGCAACCACTAATTTACTTTCTGTCTCTGTGAATTTGCCTATTCTGGATATTTCATGTAACTTGAATCATACAATATGTAGTCTTTTGTGACTGGCTTCTTGGATCAGCAATTTGTGTCCTTTTATTGCTAATAACATTCCACTGTATGGATATACCACCATTTATTGATCCATTCATCTGTTAATTTATATTTGGATACAGGTTCAATTTTGGATTAACTTTAGGTGCCCATCCAGTTTGAGATTATAGGCAGATAGCTGGAAAGGTGAAATGAGAGCAGTTTTTCAGCATTATTGACATTTTAACCAGATATGGGGGGGGGGGGCATGGCCATGGGGGTTAACCTGTGCATTTCATGTTTAATAACTTCCCTGATGACTATCCACTAGATGCCAATAGCATCTTCCACCCAGTTTTGACAGGGGAAAAATCTAGATATTATCAAGAGTTCACTGGAGGACAAAATTGCCCCGATAGAGAACCACTGTGTACAGGTTTTTGTATCTCTCTCTTCTTTTAGTTAGGATCTGTATGAAAGGATTCTTCTGCACATGACAATATTCTTGCATTTATATATGTTGTAATGCATACTACATTGTATTTTAGGGTTGAAAAATACCGGCCACAGACACTGGATGATCTCATTTCTCATCAGGACATCTTGAGTACTAGTAAGTATCCATGTGTCAGTGGCTGGTATCCTAGTTGAAGGACCTGGATATATTTCTTAGGGATGTTGTCTCTGCTGTAATAACTTTAAAGAATCTGATTAAGCTTTTTGGGATGTGGCTTTGACAGCTGCGTCCTTCAGAGTTTTCATTCTTGTGTGTGCCCTGGATTTGAACAGAGTTGAAGTGGATTCAGCCCAAAGTGAATGAAGCGACTCTAAGACTGATAGCATCTCTTCCCCCCCCCCACCCCCCATCTTCAGTTCAGAAGTTTATCAGTGAGGACCGCCTGCCGCACCTCCTTCTGTATGGTCCTCCAGGGACAGGAAAGACATCCACCATCCTGGCCTGTGCTAAACAGCTGTACAAAGATAAGGAATTTGGCTCCATGGTCTTGGAGGTAAATGAGAGGATTACCCTTAACTTTCAACAGACTCTGGTCTTTAATTTTAGTTCTGCTAGCTTTGTTTTCCTTTACAAGTTAGTTGCCCTGCTGGTGGTTGAGAAAGAAGCAGATATACAATATTTCAGTTCACTTTTCCTATAATTGACATTTTTGCCTAGAGATTTTTGGTGTAGCTAGAGGGCAGTGGTAGGGCCAGGTGTTTTTGTTTGCTGTTGCCAACTTTCAAACACTCAGTGGTCACTCTGTTGCTAGCCGTCTTCCATGTGCCCTCCTCCATGTTGCTCAACACTGTTCTTGTCCCGGAAGACTGAGCTGTGTTGACGACAAGCTCTCTTGCCCTCTGGCTCCTTTTGGGTTTGACCAGTAGGGGCCCTGGCAGAAGTTGGGGGAAGAATGATGCCTGATCCAGCCCTGGGTCACCACAAATGGACAGTGTCCCCACCCACAGGGCACAGCACCCAGCATTCCCCAGGAGCCAGCACCACTCCCCCACCAACCCCTTAAGACTTGGGAGTGGTAATGGGCCCCAGTAGCCCATAAAGTACTGCATAGCTCTTGTGGTTTCTCCCACACCTCACAAGCACCTTTTAAAATATCTCTTCGTTTTATTCTCTTCAAATTACTGAATTTGAGTGTGCTGTTTACTGCTGGGACATGACTGATCCACTTAATTATGAAATTCTAAATATTGTCTATTGTAAGAAAAAAAATGGTTTAACTTATTTTTTTGTTATAGATCTTAGAATCTTGCTGCCACCAAGATCTTACTTGTTCTTGCTTCAGTGTATTAAAAACTTGGTAACTTCTGGGTTGCTCTGGGTTGTGGTAGCTAAAATTAGCATCATTTTTCTCCTGCCTGGGGTGCTGTTCACTGTGACCAGACCAATTAATTATTCCTCCAAAGCATGTCAGTGATTGTCCTCAAAAGGGAGAAGAAAGATAGTCATTGGCCTTTCAGAATATAGTGGAATGATCTAGTGAGCTGTGAGTTTTAAATATAATTGCAATCTTTTTTTTAATGATCATGTCTTTATCTGTCCTTAGACCTAGAGACCTAGCTTGCTGAGCAGAACTGATAAAAAGATACATTAATTCATAGCACACTAATATGTTTTCTATTTATTCTGGCTTCTCTCTTTCACATTTAGCTGAATGCTTCAGATGACCGAGGAATAGATATCGTTCGAGGACCAATCCTGAGCTTTGCTAGCACAAGGACAATATTTAAGTAAGAATTCTTTGCATGATTTCTCTCCCTAAAGATTTTGATCAGTGAATTGAGTTTTTTAAATCCTCTCCTTTGCCAGTTTATAAAAGTGTTAAAAAAAGAGGGCACAGAGGCTTTGTCAAAAGCAGCCATGAGAAAGAGATAAAGTACAGAATGGTGGTAAGAAATACTAAAATGAAAATATTATCTAAATCTATTTGCAAGTACCCTGGGGAAGCATTAGTTTCATTTTATTAGTTAACAGAGAACTGATTACATCATAAGACTGGGTGAGCTAGTTTGAATTGAGATCAGGGTGGATAACTAGGATGGTGGTGGAAAAAAAGAGGACAGGCAGAAGTAAAGGTGGTGGGGGAAAAGCAGCACTAGAATAATAGGATTCTGGGTGGAAGAAACATGAAGGTGCCAGAGGACAAAATCTGACACAGAAGTTAGACCTGTTCATTTAAGAGTTGAAGGAGCAGTGGGGTATTTGCTTTGTGTGACCACAATGCCTGCTTTGGCCAGAGTTCTAGGAAAAATGAACTTTATGAGCCAGGGCCCAATGGCACAAATGTGAAGGTGTAGATTTGGGCCTGGAAGTCACAGTGAGATTGAAGAAGCTTTCAGACAGTACCACTTGTCTTCCTAGGAAAGGCTTTAAACTAGTGATCTTGGATGAGGCCGATGCCATGACTCAGGACGCCCAGAACGCCCTGCGGAGAGGTAAGGAGTATGGCCATATACAGTGTGTTGGTGAGGACAGCTCTAGAGGAGAATTAGCATCTTTGGACATGAGATAGGACATGGCTTCTTTTCCGTTTTCATTCATCTTCTGACCCAAAGAAATCTCTGTATGCCTTTTACTGCATATCCCATCTGATGATCTAGACAAAAATCTCTGCACTGGATATTACCTCTTTTAGTAACTTAAAGACATAAACCTTTTGGGAACTCTTAGGTAATGACAAGACACTGGTGTTTTATCCCCCTTTTTCCCTGGGTTCAGTTTCAGGGTTGGGAATTTGTACTGATGGATGGGAGCAGGTAAGAAGTTGTTCATTCCTAAACTGCTAGATAGGCCTTTCTGCTATTGGTACCCTTAGATACAAAGGAGCCAGGAAAATAATACTAGAAATTTAGTTGCATCAGAAAGCTGACATGACTTCATTTCTTGCCAGGAGAATGATTTGGCCAGGAAGGGAGAGTACGCTGTAATTTGTCAAGTCTTAAGGGGCCTGGTGCAGTTAGTTTCTTTGCAAGGACATTCTTAATCTCTCTCATTAAGATTCTGCAGTGAACAGCTAGGAGAGAAGAGAATCTTTAAGAATTTTAGGGAGAAGTAGATTGCAGCCCATGTTTAAGGAGGAGGAGAACAGAATATCTTCTGGTCCTAGCGGCGTTGGCAGCCTTTCTTCAGCATCTTGTTCTGTTGAGTCAGTCTGGGCAGATCCCAGTGTGAGGATGTTGGTACAGAATGAAACTGGCATCTTAGGCATCTCTGAATTCAGGTTAATGCTCTCGTGAATGCTCTAAGAGTTTGAGACAAAGTCCACTCGCAAGTCTTCAAAAAGCCATCCTCCTCCCCTGCCCAGTAAAAGTTAGGGCATCATCCATCTGCCAAGTAGAATTTTAGGCAAAAGGGAAGGAACACTGGATTTCATATCTTAATGGAGTAGAATGGCAAGAGTGCCAGAATCACGGCCAATCATGGAAAAGGAAGCGTTCTGTACAGTCTTGTTCATCAGTTCAGGAAAGAATGGCTGGTCTTCAGAGACATCCTCTCTTGCTACCATAGCATCTCCACTTGTCTGCATTCTTGTTTTCTGTACCTTTCACGTGACCCTAGAAAAGTGCAGGGTTTCTGGGTCCCTTGAAGAATCAGAATGGAAGTGAGGTGGTTTTCTTTTCCCTTGCCAGTGATTGAGAAGTTTACTGAAAATACCAGATTTTGCCTCATCTGTAACTATCTGTCAAAGATCATCCCCGCCTTGCAGTCCCGGTGTACACGATTCCGATTTGGACCACTGACTCCCGAACTCATGGTTCCCCGCCTGGAACACGTCGTAGAAGAAGAGAAGTAAGTATGTTGAAAAGCAGGGAAGAGGGGTGGGCCTTGGAGATTGGGTGTTGGGTAAGGCGACTGGCTGGTATGTTTCAAGGTGATACCGTTTGTAGACAATTCAGGAAACCTGGCATAGGTTAAGCCTCCCTGTCTGTCGGCTGCCCTGGCATCTCACAGACATTCTTCATGAAAGTCATTGGTTCTTCACTGGATTCCATCCTTCTCCCCTGGAAGCTGTCCCACTTTCTTCCTACTCTTCTTTTGTTGTTGGGAACTGCACATTGCCAAGTCCCTCCTGCTAAGATGCGTCTAGCCTTTCTTGACTAGAAGGGCAGGGTCCTGAGCCATCACATTCTGTGTAATCAGGTGCCAAGCAAGTAACCAGCCTGAGCCGCTGCTGGTGTTGACAGGTGCCTTGGCTGTGCGATTGCAGATCTCACCAGGGCCATCTCCTCCCAGAGAACAGATTCAAAGCTACCGGCACAACAGAGCAGCTCTTGATTCCAGTAAGAGTCCTTCTAGACTTGGACTGGACTGTGACTCAACATGAGGCCAGTGTCCCTAAAAGCCATTGAGTTCTGGAGTCTGTAGATCAGGAGAGTATTGTTAACTCCATCCTTCCCTTTTCTTTCTTTCATTGTTTAAACGCCTCGATCATCCCAGGCCATCTTGTTCCCTCCGTAAGCATTTGTGCTCTCAGGACCACTGAATCCCTTTGGCCTGTTTCCTTTCAGAGTTGATATAAGTGAAGACGGGATGAAAGCGCTCATAACTCTTTCCAGTGGAGACATGCGAAGGGCTCTGAACATTTTACAGGTATGGCACCACTCCAAGCAGATCTCTAGTTACTTTGGGAAGTTTTCCAAGAAAGACATAAGCAACAGTACAACAGAGTTGGTAAAAACTTGATCTTGTTATATATTAAAGATGTACCCCCACCCTTGTGTTTCGATAAATTGAAAGAATACTTTGTTGCAAACAAGGGAGAGATAGGGAAGGACTCTGCAGCAGTAACATAGCTGACAAGCGGCAGCATCCTCCGGACATGGCCAGATCTTAGCAGTATAAGAAATAGAGGGTTTGGCCGATCCGGTACCTCCCCACCCCCACACTGCTGCCTCTGCAGTTGCCTCCTGATCCGCCTGCAGCAGCCATGGTGATTTCCCCCCACCCCCCACCCTGTCTGCACAGAGCACCAATATGGCCTTTGGGAAGGTCACAGAGGAGACCGTCTACACCTGCACAGGGCACCCACTCAAGTCAGACATCGCCAACATTCTGGACTGGATGTTGAATCAAGGTTTCACCACGGCCTATAGGAATATCCTTTCTCTTGCCCTGTAGTCGGTGCATTAGGTGCCCAGGGTCTGAACGTGGAGGTCTTTTCAGCTCATGATGGAGCACGGTGTCTGCGGTTGGGATGAGTGCTTGTCTTTAATGCCAGAGTCTTCCTGCAGGGCCCTGACCTGGGTTTGGCTTGCAGCCACTCCACTCACAGATGGGAGGGAAGCACTTAGACCTTGGGTGGAAGATGCAGTCACTTTTCAAAATGTCAGTGTTACTCCTGTTTTCCTGTAAAATTAAGAGCTAGGTGTAGTGATCTAAAGCCTTTTAGGGAATACATTTGGTTCTATTCTCTGCTAGACAGATACAACATAAAACCCTTATTGGATGGAGATAAAAACACAAAAATAAGAATTTGGGTCCAACATATGCCACTTCAGGTGGAAAGCAACAGCTGTGTTGGGGTGAAAAGCCCTGCTTTCAAAAGTCACTCTACAGTGTTTGTCCTGGAACTTGGTCCCTTTGCCTTAACTGCTCCTCTCTAGATATCATGGAGTTGAAGACTCTGAAGGGGTTGGCATTACACGACATCCTGACGGAGATACACCTGTTCGTGCACAGAGGTATCACGTTCCTCCCCGGCTGAGAAGTTGTGTATGAGGCAGCATGCTTTGGGGTTGGGGGTGGTTGAAGAGGTGGTTGAAGCTCCACTGTCCACTTTGGAAACAAAGAAACAGGAATGAAGAGGTGTAAACCCGGTCCCTCATTTTTTGTTTTATCTTGCTATTTAAAACCTTGTTCCAAAAATACTCTTGACCTCTAGAATGGTGGGGGGAAAGAAGAAAAGAAATTCCTGAAAGGAACTTATTTCCTCCAAGGGTTCGTATTTTAAAGCAATAAGTAGGATATTGTAATTCCTATTTCTAAAAGGGTATTTTCCCCAAAAGCAGAGAGAGAGAAGGAAGATCTAGCTTCATGTCAGCCAGAGTGGTCTCACCTAAACCACCTTAAGTCCCCCACTTGGTTGTATGTTCTGTACAGAGAACTGCTTCTCGACCCTGGCCCACATACAGCCCATCCCAGGCCAGTCCAGTTAGCCCTTTGAGGGAGGACCAGACACTTGTGTCTTCAAGCTCTGAGTGGTCTGCTGTTCAGCCTCATGGAGATGCTCCTCCCTGACCCGCAATCACCTACGGACAGTCTGGTCCATGAACACTGGTTCTGCCAGTTCCTTTCCAGGCTGCTGGCTGGTGTGTGAAATTCTGCCTAAGAACATGGTTGGCTCAGGCCCAATTCTGCCCTTTGTGGATACTGAGAATGAATCGACCTTTAAAAATCAATCGTTTTTAAAATTGGGTAACAAGTGAGAACTCAGCTCTGACGGTAACTTACAGAGTGACCCAGTGGCTGAAACAGCATTGTGGAACGGCTCTTCCACCTTCTTAGATCACTCTGGAACCTGCTCATTTTTCTTTTTAGCTACCCTACAAAGACTCAAAAAGAATAAAAACTTTGAAAACCTATACACTTTGTACTTCCTAGAAGCATGGTGTCTCAAGATCTGTAGCTTCAAGAGATTAGTCTTACTTGATGTGGAAACAATCATACTTGTCTTCTGTGATGTTTTTAACAGTAGATGACAACAGACCCCACTCATTTGATTTTTTTTCTCACAGTTGACTTTCCATCTTCAGTTCGAATACATTTATTGACCAAAATGGCAGACATTGAGTGAGTGTTTATTTCCCGGTTTTGTTTTCCTGCTTTCCCCTTGTTCTGAGTTTTTGTTTCTACTTGTTTAGTATCAATGGTTTGGTCTAAATTGGAGTCTAGTTTTGGGTGGGATTACTGAGCAAAGCGGGGGGAAGGGCGTGAGCTGCGTTTTTAAAGCACGGAGTTAAACAAGGACAGGCGCAGCTCAGTTACATATTTGAGATAAAGGCCGCTCCTTCGACCTCAGTGGCCGGGTCCCCCTTGTTCTCCATGTGCTCCTGTTATTTGGGAGGCCTGCTTTAGTTCAGACATCTAGGTTGTTTGGGGACAGCCAGCTATCCAGCTGTTATTAAGGCATTTTGGCATACGAAAGCATATTGCAGGGAAAGTAAACATAAAACTCAATTTTCCACTTTGGCTGCTTCAGTAAACACAGTTATTAGCGCCCAGTGAAGCTGGCAGCTCTCGTGTGAGTAGACAACAGGCACTGGGTTCAGAATAGACATCCTCATCAGCCGACTCCGATTCACCGCCACTGGCTTCCACACGCGCCAGTTAGGTCACTTCTGACTGCTATACTGTGAACTGCATGATTTTACTTTCAGCAGCTGGGCGCTTGAAAAGGTTGCAAGATAAATACCAGTCTTGCTTTATTGACTAGACCACAGAACCACAGATATGGCAAACCAAACTTCCCAGTGAATTAGGAGAAAGGAAACTTAATTAAAATCCCTCTCAATGCACTTTGTAGGTGAAGAAATAATCCCCAGTCACATGCATTTTGCATATTCACATAGAGCTTGAACAAAGTTAAGTTCAGATCACTGCTACTGTTAACAATTTTTTAAAAAATTTTTCCTCTGTAGTCTGAATCAGATTTATGAATGCGTATTTGTGGCAGCAAAGAAAATGTCAGGGAACACAAAAGATTGCTGCCTGTGATGAATTTCCATGCCCTCCTTCCCGTCCTGCAGCTGACTTTAGGTCTGATTGCTATTGTTTTCTGGTCAAAAGGCAGCTGTCGTGCTATTCTCTCCCTACTTCCGTTTGCTTTCTTTTAGGTACAGGCTTTCTGTTGGCACCAGTGAGAAGATTCAGCTGAGTTCCCTCATTGCCGCTTTTCAAGTCACCAGAGACCTGATTGTCACCGAGGCCTAGATGCCGGGACCACACGCTGCCGACTAACCCTTGGGCCCAGCAGCGACAGGAGGGCATGGCACTCGGTCACAGATGAACTGCTGCCTGGGCTGGGTGTTTACAGTCACCCCCAACTGCATCAAACTGTTCCAGGCATGGATGGGCAGACATTTAAAAGGCACTGTGTTTGTGGCTATTTGGAACAGGGCTGTACAAAGCGGTTTTAATGTGCAGCTCTCTTGCTGCACTTTGCGAAATGTGTCTTGCAAGGGAACGAAGCAAGACCCATTTTCAGCCTTAAGGGTTTAACCCTTCAGTTGCTTGGATGGTAGGAAATTGGCCTACCCCATTTGGAACATCAGGCTTTCAAATCTAATACTGCCCAAGTATCTTCCAACACAAGGTAAAAAGAGTATCACTAAAGTCACATTCATAAATCTAATCTGTGATATACTTTAAATAGGTGTTAATGGGTTTCTGGCCCAAGCCATTATGCTTTTATAAAATGAACTCAATTTTCTTCCTTTAAAACCTGGCCTTTTTATTTCTGCTCTTGAAGTAGAAGAATTGCTTGCCTGTTCCTAACTGTAGTGTGTACATGAGAGAAAACATTCGTTTGAAATGATGCCACTGGGGCCAGAGATCATCCAACACTGACTTGTTTAACCCAGGGCACATGAGATGAAGCCCGACTAAGCCTGCAAGTGCTGAAAGGATTGGAACTCTTCGTATTTAAATAGAAGACAGTTTATCTGCAAGCATTTGTGCTACATCTGTGACAGGGTTCTGCACAGTAAAAATAAAGCAGCTTACTTACTGTTTAAGTGACTCCTCTTTCCTTAGCCAGCTATACAGAGGCTGCCTTGTTCGACTTGCATTTATATGAAAAAGCCGCCTCCATCCCTGATTATCACAGAATTAACTTTCTTTGGAGGCTGTTCTTTATAAAGGTGTCTAATTCTTATACTGTCAAAAGGGAGAAGTTACACCCATCACTCAGGTGGGCCTTGTCTGAAGCTAATGGCCTAGGGGTGGGGGTGGAAGATTGTCTCAAGAAGCTGCCCAGGGCCTCTCAGACTACACTGTATGTAATATTTCAAGATGAACATGAAATCTAAATGTTGCCCAATCTATTCCCAGCTGCTTTGTACTCATTTGTTTTAAAAGGTGATTTTTTTTTCTTAATGGAAAAAATGAAACAGCGAGCCAAAAGCTTTATACCTTTTTTCCTTCAATGAAAGCCTCTCATCTTGAAAACAAATGTTTTTCTTGCAGCAACAAAGGCAGCAGAGGAGAGGCTCCTCTACCTTTTCAACACGTTTTTTCATAATACACAGGCCTCCACAAAGCACCTAGTAAGAAAGCCAAAGGATAAGATGTTTCATTTCTTTTAAAATAATTTAAAATATATTAAATTTTTCCAAAGGCAGATTTTGTTTGAATGAGGTGTCTTGATTAGATAACTCTACACCACTGAAGGAGAACAATACTTTTAAGGAGCTAGTTGTGTTTAGGGGCAGAGTTGAGACTGGCTGATGAGTCCAATGAGTTGAAGCAGTCAAGTCAGATCTCGTACAGAAGAAAATCAGCTGAAATGATGACACCACCAATTCTTCACACAATTAAGAAGAGACATCTTCACAACTGTTGGAATTGAGTACTATGGTTTTTAGATACCATTGAAAAACACACAGCTGTACCTTAACATCTGTTGAGGAAATACAAATAAATATGCTAACTGGCAGAAACTGACAGATAACTCAGTAGCCACTGGAACAGTCATGCATTTGAGGAATACGTTCTGTGTAACCTGACACAAATTTGTCGCCTCCGGCACATGCACACCATTATTTAAAGAAAAGCCAAGCCTAGTGTCGACCAGGAGCACGGCCTCTTGTCGCCTGGACTTGAGCTGAGTAATGCCTCCCACCAGACATCTCTCTGACACCTGTCCTGCGGGCCACAGGGGGGCGGGGGGGAAGGAAAGCCCTTGCTCACACCAGAGCCGCTCTGACCAGCAGGACAGAACTTCACCAAGGCCCCTTCTGCATCTGGATCAGTGACAGACACTCAGCAGAAGCCACACTCCAGTCAAGGGAGTGGGAACTTCCCTGCTGCCACAGAGGCGTGAGGCCCAGGCGCTCCTCTCAGTAAAACAACTCCTTAACTGCACTTGGAATCAAAATGACCAGAGGGCCCAGCACTGCTGTGCGTGAGTAGGTAAGGTCAGGCTCCATCACTGTCCCTCTTCTGTGACTGACACTTGTGTGTCCTGGGGAAGAGACCCCGGCGGGTCCGCTGGAATCTGGCTTTGCTACATTCGGTTCACAGCTTCCCAAAGAGAAATTGTATTTCAACCCAAGGCCAGATGTTTGGCCCATTATCCACCTACTCCTTTGTCGGGAAGATTTATCCTGCTACGAAGAACACAAGACAGACTACGGAGACTGGCTTAGAAAGTCCTGTACGTGAGGAACTCTTTCATCTTCTTGGGGATTGGCAGTGCTAGCACTTGGTATGTCGTGAGGAAACTTCGAAGGGCTTTCCGGCATAAGTGCTTCAGTGATGACAGGACCCGAGGAGCCGTCCAGAACTGGACGTGGCCATCCCTTGTCCTGAAATGAAACGAAAGACAGGCCTAGGAAATGTGTTTTCACTGTGATAGTTATTAATGTTTCTACTGACTTGCCCTGGCAGGAGACTGCAGAGAAACGAAATGCAACCTGGACCTTGGAAATACATGTAGAGGCTGTGGTGCTGAATAATTAAGGCTGCTGAGAGCATTACGAGAACTCTAGACACCTTTGATTCCAAAGTGCTATCTCTGGGAGTGCAGGCCTTTATAAATCATACTATGATTTCAAATGTAATGGGGCAGTGCCACTTACTGAATTATAGATGCTCCCTGTAAGGTGGTCTCTGCCCAAAATGGTTTCCCATATAAATTCTGGATCATCTTAATTTCTGTCTCCTTGCAGACTTGGCCTCTTAGGTACCATGAATTTTATATCCTTCATTACATTTAGATTAAATATTAAAAGTGAATGATAAACTATACTGGTAGAGGTGAGTATCAGAATTTTATGTAATCTCAGATTTCCTTAAAGCCTTCCTCATAGGCAAGAAAATTCTAGATGCTTTATTTCCTTAAAAAGCTACATGGAATACTCAGCAGAAATCGCTACCCATCTGTTCAGCTAACAGATACATACCCTGTGGCAATAACTCCACCATGTGGAAAAAATGTGCAGCAAAGACCATTGGTCATAGGAGCAAATGCAATTGGAGTCTTCAGTTCCAAGGCCCAGATCCTGAGGAGCCTGGAGGAGAATGGGACGCGTCAGTAGGCCTGAGGTCAGACCCCGAAGGTAATGGTACAAGTCCTTTCAAGCACTTGGCTCTGAGGCTGCGTAAAGAGGTTTCTCCTCATTACCTGTCATCTGCCACCGTGGCGAGGTACAAGCCTTCGGGGGAGAAGCACACAGATCTCAGGGAGCTGATGTGGACGTCGCTGTCATCCATGGGGGGGTTGAGCTGGGTGTGGCTGAGGAGAGGGACACAGGACAGTAGGTGGGCCTGGAGTTTCGGCCACCCTCCACCCTTCGGTGTTCATCCCCAGGCAGGAGGCCAAACTGCCTTGGCCACGAAGAGGTTCCAGACGTGTCTTAGACCCTGTGTGAAAAACCTGGGGATCTGCAGACTGGGTAAAAGACAACTGGTAACAAGCGCATTTCAGAGCCCCAGTGTCTCATGGAGAGGGCTAAAGAGTTACCAACACTCCCTGTGCTAATTTCCTTATGCAAAGTAGGTCAGCACTCACTTTAATGCCCCAGTACAAACTGAAAGTCTTTTCTAGGCTAAGATACGTGATAATTATAGGACTACCTATTATTTGCTTCAGAAAACAACAGAGACAAAGGGGAAAAGGAGACCAAGTTGGTGAGAACATGAAAACTCACTTTGGAAATAACAGTTTCAATAAGAGGATCATTCTGAACCTGTTACTATAGTTATTAGTAAATGGAAAGAAAGAGTCACTGTGAGGTTTCATAACGCTGAATCCAAGCAATACAGTGAGCTTCTGATCACAGGAGACTTGAAGGCACTGGGGGCTCATTTGAGAACTTCACTGACAAACACTGCTGCACACCAGTGCCTTAGAATAAGCAGGACCACACTGTGTCCTGCACCAAGACAGGTTTCTCGTCGGTCACCCCGCCAGGAAGCTGAAGCAGGGGGCGGGCCTTACTGGAGTGAGCGCAGCCGCTCGCCGGTATAGGGGTCCCACATGATCACACTGGTGTCGTAAGAAGCCGTGACGAGCAAGGCAGAGTCGGGGGAGAAGTCACAGGACACCACGCTGCTCTGGTGGCCCTCCAGCTTCCGGATCAACGTGTAGGAACGCATGCTCCACAGAAAGACCTGTGCGAAGAGCAGGCGCCTGGTCAGACAGCACTCAGGACATGGCCAGGGAGGGCAAGGCACAGCCCTGCCCCTCCTGGCCCTGCAGCCGGGGGAAGCCAAGCTCCCCACCCGCTCTTCTACATTTCTTCCAGAGCATGTCATTAGGGCTTAAATAAAGTGATGGGTCTGAACTCTTGAGGTGCCTAAGCAAGGGACATGCTCAAGACGCTTACTTTAAGGGAGATCAATTGACTGACCTCAGGAAGATGGCTGCCAACATGGCTCAGAGGAGGCATCTGGGTTCTGCTTCTGAGCTCTCTTAGCAAGTAGGGCAATGCATGCTGAAGACCTAAGCCAGTGGCTATCTTGCCCTTTCACTTAAAACCAAAAACAGGGGTCAGAGGTGAATTCCAGGGCACCCAACAGAGCCATCTAACACCCCGCTTTGGTTTACAGGACCACAGAAATCTGCCCCAGAACTGTAGGTCTGACCTAGCTCATTACTTAAAACTTCTGAGAATCATTAAAAGAATGATTTTTTTCTTTCCTTTAAGAAAACTCTCACTTTCAGCTAGTTCCAAACCTCAAATCAATGATTAACCTCCTGGGCTGTACCAAACAGTGGACTCTTAACTTTCCCAAGTCAGTCACAGCAACCAACAGCCCGATGCAGATACAAGACTCAAACGGTTTCCAAACTGTTCCTGGGTTTCCAGTACTTTTCTTATAATAGATAGGATATCAGGACAAAGTTCAAGAAGGTTCTGTATGTTTTATGATTTGAAATGGAAATCCTAATCAGATGGATTCAGATTACATGGTTCGAAGGAAATATGCATCCAAGTGTGAGTTGCAACTTTTAAAATCTTAGACTCTGAGGGGGAAAGACACTTAAAAAGCACCACTTTCCCATCTTTTGAAGGCCAACAGCCCTCCAGTAATGGAGCGGGTCCATGTCACAGTGCAAATCAGAAGGAAGGCGTGCAGGAGGGGCCTCAGCGGGCAGCGTGGCTCCCGCTGGGGCAGATCTGCAGGCAGGTTTCAAGGACACTGGCTCACTTACCCTCTCACACACAGGCCTCCACATTTCGTGGAGCTGAAGCAACACAGCTAAGACCACCCCTAGTTTGAGACTCACCGATTTCTCTCCGGCCGCGGAACATAGCATGCTGCAGTCTGGTGAGATGGAGCAGCAGTAAACCCACTGCAGGTGGCCCGATAACACCTGAATCTGTTTACCTGGCAGAGAAGGGAGAGCACACGGTTAGCCAACTCCCAGAACCACAAAGCAGGATGCCCAAAAACCAGTGGTGGTGGCCCCCCTACCTGCTATATCCAGCGGTTCTCCAGCAGCTGAGCCCACACGCCCCCCCCCCTTTTATTTGGAAGATAGTTGCTTTATATTATTGTGTTGGTTTCTGCCATACATCAACATGAATCTACCATAGGTATATATATGTCCCCTCCCTCCTGAACCTCCCTCCCACCCCATCCCACCCACTCTGGATTGTCACAGAGCATAGGTTTGAGCTCCCTGAGTCATACAGAAAATTCCTACTGGCTATCTCTTCTACATATGGTATGTATATGTTTCCATGTTACTCTCTCCACTCATCGCACCCTCTCCTTCCCCCGCTGTGTTCACAAGTCTCTTCTCTATATCTGCATCTTCACTGCTGCCCTGCAAATAGATTTTATCAGTACCATCCTTCTAGATTTGGGCTCCTTTTGTAATGCAGAGACATGACAAGACTTGTCATTTAAATGCCTGAAACCCATTAATGTGACATTATAATGCCCAAGGGAAATCATTATCAACTGCTTCACCAAAATCCACAAGGTCAATGGGATAAGGGCTCCTTTTATAGCAGACTATTCTTTTCAGGTCCCCCAAGCACCTGGATTACTCTGAAGCATCCTCCCAAATTTGAGACCTTTCATTCATGCTCTGTACTGGTTTCCCCCGGTTACAGGATCCCACTCTCCACACCTCGCCAGGATGAACGGATGAGCAGCGATGCAGGGTCATTAGGGCCACATGCTCTGAGGCAGGTGAACTTGCGCTTGAACCCTGGCTCCACTGTCTACTCAGCGCATTGTGCTGGGACACTCATTTCACCTCTCCAGGTCTCCATTTTGGGAAAAAATCAAATGCCCACCAACAGAGGAATGGATGGATAAAGGGTAGCAATCCACGTGTTAAGTCACATGAAATTAAGGAACTAGATTTTCCATGAAGTGTTTAATTAAAAAAAAAAAGCAAGATGCAAAAAAATGTAAAAAATGAGATTCCATTTTTGTGAGACAATGACCCTCAAATCCATAAACGGAAACGTGAGTGTTTGCATAGATTATGTAAGTATAGAGAAAAACATGGAAGGAAACACAGAAGGCTCTTAGCATGGGTGACAGCACCACAGGGGGGATCATGTAGGAATGTACTTGAGGGGAGAATGGGACAGCTTAAGGGGAGAAACCCCAACAAAGCGGGGGGAAATGTATATGGTCACATACATGCATTTATGAGTTTATGTGTGAGTATATGTTGGAAATAAATTTTTTAAAAGTCAGTCATGGTTTCTTTAGCTGTAAGAAGAGCACCTGCCCTGGGGAGGTGGGAGTGAATACAGCAAGGCAGGGCCGGGTTCCGAGAGACACAACTCTAGCCCCTCCTCTCCCCGAAAAGCCCTAGTAACTGGCCTCGGTCCCCTTCCGCTCCTTGCCTTAGGTGGTGGCAAGCTGCCTGTGGACACACATTACAAATGGTGCTGCCTCTGAGCAGGCCTCCCAGTCTGCAGGCCCACCTCGGACCACGCAACTACAAGCTCCACAGCAACGGGCAGAAAGGCCCCAGGGCTCTCTGGGTGATGAGATGCCTCCAGGTAAGGCCTCCACAAGCACCTCCTTACTTGTCTGACAAGCTATTAGGCTTGTTTCTGAGAGAAAGGGACAGGTAAGTGGGGCTGGAACAGCACGGCTCGGACTCTGCACTGTCAGGGGACAAGTGTGCTCTTCACAGTCCATGTCGCCACTTCCTCTTTCTACCACCTCCATCCACACTCATGTCCCTGCCCACGTGAGGGAGAAATATCCTGGAAATAAATTCCTCTTCCCTGGGTCACCATTCCAGCTGCAACACCAGAAATGCATGGAATTCTTCATCAGGCCACTCCTGGATACTGTTCCGCTTACAGGAGAAATGAACGCCCCGCCCCACCCCACCCCTAGCCTGAGAGAATTCTTCTAACCTAGACTGTTTCCCTAACAGGAAGTACCCAAAAAGGATGACTTCTTCTCAATCGCTGGTTCCCAGCCCATGGCGACTGTGGCCCTCCATGTGGACAGCAGGCAATGTCTGGAGACACTTTTGGTTGTTACCACTGAAGAAGGTGCTACTGGCATCTCATGGGTACAACAAGTATACTGCTTAACAATCAAGAACCCAAAGGTTGGCCCATAACAAAGAGTTATCTAGCCCAAAGTTCAAGAGTGCCAGAGCTGAGAAAACCTATTCTATACTATGTATTTTCATCAGGGGTGAAAACTGGTTCTTGATGGTTGGAAAAATCTTACCATTTTTATGTACAAAGCATAGATAAGCATTCAGCACCTTAACAGATACACAGTGTATCTCTCTATCTCTGGTATGAAAACCTCCCAGGTAGGAAGGTGACTAGGAAAAGTATATCTAAAAAGTCTCCTGAGAAGGCACTAATAGAAAAAAGGTTGAGAAACACTGTTCTGGATAAAATGACACTGGTCAAGCAGACAGAGGGGCAAATAAATAGTATTTGGGGGCTTCCAAGTCATCCCTCCACTTCCATACCATGTTTATTCAGGTCCCAGATGCGAAGAGTCTTATCCCGAGATGCAGAAACCAGTATCAAACTGCCACTGGGTGTGAAGCTCAGATCTCTCACGACATCCTGGTGGCCGGAAAGATTCAAAAGCAGGAGCCCTAGCGTGAGAGAGAGGGGCACTAGGTCAGGGGGAGATGAAGCCCTGGTCCTCTGGTCATGGCCACACCCCTTGGTCAACAGGCCATCCCTGATCAGAATGTGTGAGCCCTGGGGGCCTTGATCCCAGCCAGAAATGACCTACCTGTCTGTACCTCCCAAATCTTGATCTGCCCATCGTTGAGTCCAGTAGCAAGGATCAGGCAAGAGACATCTGGCACCTGCGGATGGTGGCGAGCCCAGAGTTTCTTGCTGGGTGGAGAAGGCCATGGGCTGAAGGCCAAGCCCCAGACAATCTGCCCACAGTCCAGTGTCTTCTCCTTTGGGCTGCCTCGCCCTTTTGTCTCATTTTTGCTGCTTCGGCTTTTGGCTTCGAACCCTTTAGGGATGCTGGGGAAAGCAGAAGAGTTCTTAATGAAGCTGAAACTGCCACCAAGTCAACCAACCTTTCACTCGGGGGTATCTAAGTCTTTGAAGTCCTAGAAACAACTTTGGTGAATTCTAGCATGACTTTTCTTCCTGTTTCTTTTTAGAATTTGTGTAACAGGGACTTCATTGGCCATGGCTCATTCCACTTCTGACAGCCCTGCAGTGGGGTGACCTGCCTTGTGGGAGAACTAGATCACAGATGCTCCAGGGAGTCATTCTCCTCTTCAGAAGGTTCTCCTGGGTTTTGGTGCATGGAAGGAGAGAGACACTCAGTGTTCCCCATAAGAAAGAAAGCATGCTGGAAGTCTGGAACTAGGACAGAACTTAAGAGCCTGATTACCCATTTGCTACTCTACCTCATAACACCCCTTTATCTCTAGCTTAGAAAGCCCCCTAGGAGCAGAAAAGTAAACTCCTTTCTGGCCAACAGTTTGCTTAGAACACATGATTTCCACCTTCCCTCACTTTGCTCCGATCCATGAGTGAGGCTCTTTCATTTCTTTTCTGATGACTCTTCCAGCCCAGGAACCAACCAGCAGGGCAGTCAAGGAAAGAACTCAGAGCTGTTCAGAGGTATGCTGACCTCAAAGACCTTGTAGCCCAAGCCTTGCCTTTTACCTTCTACTTATGCTGAAACACAGGCCTAGACAAGCTAAATAAGACTCTGTCCTTAAGAAACAGGGCCCTGCCCACACTCTGCCTCACATACCTCTCAAAGGAACAAGCAATTAAATTGCCCTGCGGTTCAGCCCGCAAACGCAGTTTCTGGTCTGCGGTATACTTTATCAGTGCAAGCACTCAGTCCTGCTTTTCTACCTGACTCTGACCACACTCTCAGGTTTATCGAACTGAAGGAATGGTGATGATAAAGCTGGAACTCATTTCCATGAAAAATCCTAGAGTCGACATACATGCAGCTGAACCTCTTTCTGTGTTACATTTGTTCCCCAAAAGTTAGGTAAATCGTGCTTTTGTCAATTGCGTAGTTGAAATATATTAAAGAATTTTAACCAAGTTCATCTACAAAACTGGCAGCAAGAGACTGAGGCCAGTGTAGGTTCTTTCAGCTCTGGAAACCCTATTATTCCACAGCAGAGGCTGGCAGGGAGTGCCCAGGTGGGCAATCTGTTTTGCACATGAAGTCTGCTTGTTTGCCTGCATCTCATCGAGGGTCACTGAGACCCTCCAGCAGCAGAACTGACTTGTCCTGATGGAGACATATGCCCCAAAGCCAAAATATTTACTATCTGGGCCTTTAAAGAAAAAGTTTGCTGACTCCTGGCCTAAATGGCCAAATGTGCTCTGAAAATTTGTCATTCTGACAGAACACCTGAATATGACAGTGAATGTCTTTCCATTGAAGGCTGTCCAGTGCACACATGGCCCCAGACAGGCCGACACATGCACTTCAAAGACCTGCCCGGCTCTGACTTGGGAGCCCAAGTTGGCCATGCAAGAGTTCTGCAGGACAGCTTGGAACCTTCCAAGTTCCTTTTATTTCTTTTATAAAATCCTAACTTCTGTATTTGAATTAAGAGATACATCTGTAGCTACTTTAAAGGAATTAAGGCACATTTATATATTAATTCATTTTATCATAAATTTAATTTTTCTAGAACAAGATATTAAAATCTCCATGCTTGGGATAGGGATAACTTTCCCAGGGTCACAAAATCACAGGCAGAATCAGAGCCAAGTCTTGGGTGTCCTAGCCAGCAAATGCCTTGGACTTCAGAGTCTGCAATGAATTGAAGGGGTGAGCTATGTGGAAGGTGGGGGTGGCTCGGGACCCGGGTAGAGTCATTAGAACTTAAATTCATCAAAATTAAAGTGTTTGAAAATGTTATTTCTAAAAGTAGTACATTATTTCATTAATATCAATTATTTGCTCAATCTTGAAAGCACTATATGATTTCTTAAGCATGTAACAATCCTAACAAGAATATAAAGGACTCAAATTTTCTCTTTTAAAGAACTTTAAAAATAACAATTATTTAAAACTATAAAAATAACAGTGGAAAATGGGGAAATTTTGGAAATGAGAAAATTATAAAAATTACCCAGATCCTAACGACAAAGATCCATCTAGTCAAAGCTATGGTTTTTCTAGTAGTCATGTATGTGAGAGCTGGACTATAAAGAAAGCTGAGCACTGAGAATTGATGCTTTTGAACTGCGGTGTTGGAGAAGACTCTTGAGAGTCCCTTGGATTGCAAGGAGATCCAACCAGTCCATCCTAAAGGAAATCAGCCCTAAATATTCACTGGAAGGACTGATGCTGAAGCTAAAACTCCAATACTTTGGCCACCTGATGCGAAGAACTGACTCACTGGAAAAGACCCTGATGCTGGGAAGGATTGAAGGTGGGAGAAGAAGGGGACAACAGAGGATGAGATGGTTGGATTGTATCACTGACTCGATGGACACGACTTTGAGCAAACTCCGGGAGATCGTGAAGGACAGGGAAGCCTAGCAGGCTACAGTCTATGGGGTCACAAAAAGTCAGACACGACTGAGCGACTGAACTGAACACCACTCCAACCACAGTAAACACAGTACCATGACTTTTATTTATGTATATACATGTTTTTAAAAAACAAATTTGGGATCATACTGCAAAGAGTTTCATAGCTTGCTTTTCTGGGTAAGCATTCTACTGTAAATATTTCCTCAAGTCATTACTCTTCAAAATATATGGTTTTTCTCTAAAATAAGTAACATTCCATTTAACATGTTAAACAATATTCTCATTATATTAAACAAAAGATAACACAAAAAGGGTTAATGCTCAAATTTCTACTTTCCTTAATTAATATGGGAAAGATATATTTATGTCTAGTAATATATATATATATTTAAATACAGGAGTGATTTTCAAGGAAATAACAGATTTTCTACTTTTTAAAAAAATTATTTTTCAGACTAAATCTACATCAGACCCAAGTCTGGATACGAAGCTGAATCCCTTGCATTTAGACTGCGGGATTAATAAATAATGAATGATTTTGACATTTTCATTAAACAAGTACAGAAGGAACTGAAAATTTTGATTTAAAAAAACAAAAACAAAAAACAGGGCTTCCCTGGTGGCTCAGTGGTGAAGAATCCCCCTGCCACTGCAGGAGACACGGGTTTGACTCCTGATCCAGTAAGATCCCACATGCTGCGCAGCAACACTGAGCCTGTGCCCTGGAGCCCCGGCGCTGCGACTACTGAGCCCGCCACGTGGCCACTGTTGACGCCAAAGCAGCCCAGAGCCCATGCTCTGCAACGAGGAGCCCCCAACCCTCGACTCCAGAGCAGCCCCCGCTCGCCACAACTAGCGAAAAGGTGACACAGCAATGAAGACCAAACACAGCTGTAAATAAATAAACATGAAGAAAAAAGGCATACACTGCAATCTTTGATGGCTGCAAAAATATCAGATGGCAATGCCATAATTTCCTTCACCGTTCTTCTCATTACCAGATTTTAAGCTATTTCTGATTTTTAACTATCATATGATTAATTTCATGTTGAAAAGCAGTGTATCTAATACATGACCTCCCATTTACAGCAACATGGGGGAACCTAGAGGCTGTCATACTGAGTGAAGTAAGTTAGAGAAAGACAAACAACACATTATAGCGCTTATATGTAGAATCTAAAAAAAAAAGGTACAAATGTACTTATTTTACAAAACAGAAATAGAGTTGCAGATGTAGAAAATAATTTTATGGTTACGGGGAAAAGGGGGAGGGATAAATTGGGAGGCTGGAATTGACATATACGCATTACTGAATATAAAGCAGATAACGAACAAGGACCAACTATACAGCACAGAGAACTCTACTGAATATTCCATAATAACCTACACGGGAAAGAATCTAAACAACAGTGGATAAATGTGCACGTACAACTGACTCACTTTGCTGTACAGCAGAAAGTAATACAACATTGTAGATCAACTGTATGCCAATAAAAACTTTTAAAAAAACAAATAAATAGATGACCTCATTTCTGAGATTTCCTGATTGCAGGAAGAACAGTTTTAAGATCGTTGAAATGGCCTTCCTTCCAGAAAATGCACAAATGTACACCCTTCAACCCCTGCAGTGTGCAAAGTACTCATCTCAGCAAACTTGCATCAGCATTACCTATTATAAGGCAACAAGTTTCAGACTGAACTTATGAAAAACTTTAATATGCAACTTATAAAATGCTTAAAGCAAAACAAATGAGACCTTCAAGGGCAGGGGCCATGTTTGATATATTTCAGAATTCTCAACCCTTGGCTCCTGGTCAGGCAAGGAAGATTTGCAAAAATTGCTGGCTGAATAAATAAATACAGACATAGAGTTGCCCTGGGACAAATGAAAAAAATACAGATGCTGGGCCATCTGACTGGGAGCTCACAGCCTTCAAACACTGAGACTTGTCCAGCCCAGAGAAAGAAAAGCTATCAGAAACAACTTGGTTGATAACAAAAAAGGCAACTAGCCAATTTTAAAATGGACCAAGGATCTGAATAGACACTTCTCCCAAAGATAGGCAAAGAGCCAGTAAGCACATGGGGGCGAGGGCCGGAGGGGGTGTGGGGGTGGGCACACAAGATCAGCAGTCAATAGGGAAATGCAAATCAAAAGCCACAATGAGATGCCACTTAACACCCACTCGGATGGCTATGCTGCAAGTGTTGGTGAGGATGTGGAAAGTCTGGGAATCTCCAACACTGTTGCTGAGATTATAAAATGGTGCAACCACTCTTGAAAACTGCCTGACACACCCTCAAATGGTTAAACATGTATGAAAACATATATCCACACAAGATATGAAAACATATCCACAAAAGAACCAGTACGGAAGTGTTTGCAGCAGCATTATTTTTAATAGCCAGAAAGTGAAAACAACCTAAATGCTCACCAGCTGAAAAACTTATAAAACAAAATGTGATGTCTCCATAAAATGGAATATCATTTGGCAATAAAGGGAAATTAAGTCACGGAGCATGCTAAAACACGGATAACCATGAAAACAGTACCCTAAAGTGAAAGAAACCAGTCAGAAGATGACATAGTGTACAATTAGATTCGCATGAAATACCTAGAATAGGCAAATCTTTAAAGACAGAAAGTAGATTAGAAGCTGATCAGGGCTGGAGAGGAGAAGGGTATTGAAGAATGATGGGTTTCTTTTGGGGGTGACAAAAACATTCTAAGATTGGTCATGATGATGGATGCACAACTCTGTAAATATACTGAAGTCACTTAATTGTACACTGTAAATGGGAAAATTGTATAGTATGTAAATTATACCTCAATAAAGCTGTTAAAAAAAAACACTTGGGGCTATCAACAGAATGAGGTTTCACAGGTACAGGATGAAGGACCCTGGAAATCCCAATGATCAATTTCTGAACTGTTCAGCCACCTTCCCTCTCCTGCTCTTGGGCAGGAAGTCATTTGGGAAAGTTCCCCAGGACTTCCTCATTCCTTTGGGTGTGAAAGAACTTACAACTGCTCCTCCAGCGGCCAGGGGATCAGCTTCACAATGCAGTGTCCTTGAGACCAGGCGAACCAGGACCCATCCGGGGAGAAGGCAACACTCCACGTTTCACAGCTAGACTTCCAATCAAATTGGTGGGGGCGCCCGGGCTTGAGTTCGGCCAGCAGCAGCGGCTCCTCTGGGGCAGGAGACAACATACTTCAAGAAGGCACCCTCGCCTCACCGGAAAGGGCAGAGCCCAGCCCCCAGCACCTTGCTGACTCAGACACAGGAAAGCAGAGGTCGTCCCCTGGCAAAAAGTGACAGTCTGGATTCCCGGAGGGAGTTGTCATTTAAATGACCCTGGTCAATAACAGTAGCCACAGGCCAAATTCCAGTGGGGTTACTCAGTTCTGGCACTGCTGGTTAACCATGACTCAGAGTAACCTTTGTCAGGGTGAACCCAGTGAAGGGGGGCCTCATTTTCCCATGAAAGCCCAAAGAGGAAGAAAGGAGGCAGGCCAGGCAAGGATCGAGCTAGAAGGTACTGATCAGGGGGCCTTCAGATGTACTTAAGTTCTCTCCCGAAAGGAATATTTGAAACTCACAGGCTTCCCCTCACTCGCCAGCATCCCTCCCATCACCAAGGCTAATACTGGCCCTGCTCACCACCTCTTGATCTGCCCTCCTCTTCCATCTCCTCTCTGTTCTGGCTTAAATCTTCATCCCATCTTGCCCAGATTTTTTTTTACAAGATTCTTTTTTTTTCCTGCCCCTAGGGACCCTGCTAAAGCTGAAACACATATTATATCCCAACATTTCTTTCAAATACATCCCAAGGCACCCACTTGCCTACCACTAAAGGCAACCTTCCTCCCCACCCCACTGGACCCAGCCTCCCCTTTCCGGTCCATGCCGCATGCCGGCCACACACGTCTCCCTGTTATGCCCCAAGTAGCTCATTAGAGTTCACACCTGGACTCATGTTCTGCTTATGAGAATCCCACCGAGATTAGCAACTGAGAAGCGTACCCAGGTCTCACACTATCAAAGCGGAAGTAAGTCCTACCCTGCTTATTTCACTGCTCTCCTATAGTTATCAATTCCCTCCGCCCCAACCTCATCTCCAGCTCGGAATTTACACAGCCTCCTTCAAACACCAAGCCAATTCAATCCTTGTTTCTCGGGGTGAAGGGTGGGGGCTGGACTGGTGCTTCTTCATTGACTTGAAGGGCAGTCCCTAGTTCAACTCTATCCTCTGACAGAAGATTCTCAATGGCTGACAAAGCCTGTAAGTTCAAGGCCTTCAGAACTGATCCTTTGATTGTGCTACATATGAATACAAAATCTGACTTCCATGCTGAATGAGGTCACTGATGAGTATGTTCCACTTTAGCAGTTTTGAGACTGACCCTTTTATAGCTGTTACCAGATAGATACTAATTTGACAGCTCCTGTTTTGTGTATTTTAGGACATATCTATGTCTTCTCATAGTTTGACCTTGTTAAAATCAGGATGCGTCAAGTGATGACTTCTCACAGTTTAATAGGCAGTAATTTTTCAGAGATACATAATGGCAATACAATCCATGATATCTCAGAGTCAATGAATCAGATGGTAAACACGCATATATGTATATAATATTTCCTGATGTATGCATTATAGGAATATACAGGAGTATATCTTATTTACGTGGATATATTTTGCTGAAAATTCTCTTTAAATAGAATTTTAATAAATTATATCAAGACTTCGTGGCTTTGCTATTTAAAGGAAATTTTAGAAGTTTCCTTTGTAAAGAGAATATTCATTCCCTGAGGTTCTATGTGGAAATCTAGGTTTTGAAATATTAGGTCTGTCTAAACTGGCATTTGTACAGGCCTAGGTAATTCCTCCTAGAAATCTGTATTTTTGTATATGTGACCCTTTCATTTATACAATTACTTGTGTAATCAAGCATACTCCTCTGGATGTGAATATTTGCATGGGAGGACATTATTTTATATTTCAAATAGAAAACAAGACTCAATGTTAAGCAGCAGTTCTGTGGTGTTTTCTTTATTCTCATTGTTTCTAGGTATCTTAAGGTAACAAGGCCCTACCCTGTCAACACCTCCTTCATGTAATCCAGTTCTCAGTTGGGGGCACTTCTGTCCCTTGGGGACATGTGGCAATATCTGGAAATATTTTGGTTGTCCCAACTGGGGGTGGTGGTGATGGTGCTGCTGCTGCTGCTAAGTCACTTCAGTCGTGTCCGACTCTGTGCAACCCCATAAACGGCAGCCCACCAGGCTCCCCCGTCCCTGGGATTCTCCAGGCAAGAACACTGGAGTAGGTTGCCATTTCCTTCTCCAATGCATGGAAGTGAAAAGTGAAAGTAAGTCACTCAGTCATGTCTGACTCTTAGCGACCCCATGGACTGCAGCCTACCAGGCTCCTCCGTCCATGGGATTTTCCAGGCAAGAGTACTGACTGGAATGGGGTGCCATTGCTTTCTCTGAGGAGTGGTGCTACTAGTATCTAATGGGTGGAGGCCAGGGACGCTGCTAAACATCTTACAGTACACAGGATGACCGCCCCCGATTCTCACAAGAAAAAAATTATTTTACTTAAAACGTCAATGGAATGGTGTTGAGGCTGAGAAACCAGGAGTAGTCAAATACTAAACGACATTCACCTGGAGGTACATTATTATCACCTGACTTTATTCCATCCTGGTAAGAGTCACACTTGGTTCGCTTCCTCCAGGATATGCATGTCATCCATCCTTTCAACGCCACGCAGGCTTCACACAATATGAAAAGGGGTCATCCCTGACTTCTCTCTTTTCTTGACCTCCCAATCCAGACCCATGAACAAGTTCTATCAAGTCTGCTCCCAAAAGACTTGGCAAACCTAACTTCCCTCCACCTCATGGCTGTTTATTCTCAACTATGTAATACCATCTCATCAGCATCAGCTCATCTATCCAACATTATCTCTAAGCAGCTTCCGACTGCTCTCCTAGCCCCCTCTCTGGCCTCCACCACCCATTCTCCTCACCTCTCAGTGATCAGTTTCTAACCATCTCAGAATAAAAACCTCACCCTGCCCTAGAAGTCCTGCACACAGGCCTTTTCTCACCCCTTGGTGGTGCTCAATTAGTTCCAACCTCAGGGCCTTTGCACCAGCTATTCTCTTCACCTTAGAATATGTGAAAAGAGAAAGCCCTAAGAGAGGCTCCTTAGAGAGCCCTTCTCGGATCCCAAGTCAAGGTTCTTCAAAACTTCTCACTTTATCTTCTTTACAGCACAAACACCACTGTGATCATTATCTGTCACCTTCCAACTAGGACATCAATGCCACAGAGTAGGGACCTTGTATGTTTATCTCCAGTGCCTAGCAGTGTTCCTGGCAGAGAGTAGGCCATCAGTAAATATTTGTGGAATAAATATACATGGTATCTCTCTATAATATACATGAAATGAAGTCCCTTAGACTGTTATGATGCCTTTGCCAAAAATTTAACATGAAATGCTTCTTAAACATAAGCCACATCCAGATTTCACACTCTATTTCTGTCATTTGGGGATTTAATCTCTTGCTATCTCAGGCTCGGGAATTCAAAGACTAAAATAAGGAGAAAAAAAAAGAAAAATGAAGGAACTATGAAGATTCTAAAAGGGAGTCTGGGCCCAAACTAAACTTGGCAGCTGGAAGAGAAAGCCATAATTAGTGTAGAACTTAAAAAAAAACAACAAAACAAAAAACCCAGAGGCAAGAGGATCCAGCTTCATCTGGGATTGTACCTGCCCTGGACCTTCTTGGTGAAAAGGCCTATGGATCCAAGTTTTCTAATTAAACATTGGGATGTGTTTGGCGGAGTGGAAAGATACGTACCATGGGCCTCTTCTGTGGGAGGAGATTTGCCTGTACACAGAGACGGAAGCTATGAAGGACTCTAGCTGGCAGGAAGCTTGACGATTTATCCTGCCTTAGGATCTTTACATTAGCCATTCCATCATCCTAGAAAACTCTGCCTGGCTGGCCCCAGATCCTTGTCCAGATTAGGCCTCGGTGCTGGTGTCAATGTCGGAGAGACCTTTCTGGCCTCACTACCCAAAGTGGCCCAGTGACTTGCGTTCACTGCACTGAATTTTCCTTTTAACCATCACTCACCCATCTTCTCTTGATTGCTTGTTTTTAGGTGACTGTAGTTTCTCTCTTTCCCAGCCTCACTTCAAACTGTTCACCGCTACCAGACTGTACTGTCCCATTCAGTAGCCACTAGCCACATGTGGTTACTAACCTTCTGAAATGTGGCAAGTCCCAATTAAGATGGGTTGTTAGCTACACATGCTTTACTTTGAAGACTCAGTATAAAAACAAAAATCTAAAAATGTTTATCACGATTATATGTTGAGATGATGTTTTAGATATGCTGGATTGACAAACATTTAATTTTAAGATTAAATCCACCTGTTTCACTTTTATTTTGTTTTTTAACACCGCTACTAGAACATTTCAAATTGCCTATGTGGCTTGAGGTTATAGTTCTATCAGCCAGCGCCGCTCTAGAGAGTGCCTGGCATACAGTAGATACTCAATAAATATTTCAATGTATCAATGCATTCTAACCACTGCTCTGAAGATATCTACTGTTGTCCATTGTAATCCCATCACAATGGCCTTTATTCAGTTTCAAAAGAAAATAAAACTGACCTTTTTTTAAATTGTAGCTTGGCAGCTCTCAGTAGATCAGCCCACACCCCAAAACACAGTCATCCATCATTAGGAAAAATCCAGAACTGGAAACAGATTCCTGCTAAAAAGGGAGACTAGCTCCAGATCACTGTCAGATACAAACTAAAAGGAGTCAATGGAAATGACAGCGGAAGCTAGAAAAAGATTCACGTAAGATTTCAGGCAAACAGAAGAGGCCCTTTAACAAGAGTTCTATGGGTAACACACTCACTGAAAAGAAAGCCCTTATCTAGATGGGAAAGCAGAGAGAGCTACCACTACACCTGGTATTGAATGCCTGACTCCAACAAAGAAATGTCATTTCCCAAATTAAAAAGTTACACCACCCTGGGGGAATCCCCTGATTTCAACCCACCCAGCCACCCTATTCCCTATTCCATCCAAGGAGTCAGGGAAACATAAAAACACCCACAATCATAATCTTCCAGACCAGAATAAAGCTTGCACTTCACTGGAAGAATACAAAGAGGTCTGGAACAAATTCTGAGTCCAGGCCTTGACCCCTTCAGAGAAATTTTCCCTGAGGAAACTGCCTTTAAGCAAGGGAGTATATTCAAGAGTTGGGACTCCCAGAATAAACCACAAGCCCACCCCAAGTTTCTATATTAGTGGGGTTTAGAGGCAAAGTGGTTGGAAAGATTCTGAAGCACGCGCCTTGAGGTTTGGCCTTAGCACAAGCACACCATTCCCACTGAGACTGTATGTTCATTTGGGCTGACCCTCCAAGTGCTTCCAATATTCTCAGACTTCCAGACCGTTCTCTGATACAGCTGTTAACAAGGATAGAAGCAAGTACCTCACTCATTGGTGTATCCTAACTTGTCCCCCCATCTATGTCACCAGGCTCGCAATATGGGTTTTCAAATGAAATTCTAGACCCGATTTTCATGCGCAGTCAAGTTTGAGAAGCTCCCAACAGCCCGTTAAGGCAGATACTATTATTAGCCCATTTTGCAGATACAAAAGAGACTTGTGTTAAGTGGCTCGTCCACGATCACATAGCTTCTATGGGGCAGAGCGGACTCCCACCGAGACCTCGAGTGCGTCACCTGACACCTGGGCACCCACCCCCTCTCGGGAATCAAAACACCCACCGCTCCGAGGGCCTGGCGTCCCCGCCGTCCCAACCGGGCGGTGGCGTCCGGCCCCAGGCGCCCCCCACTGTCCCGGGGGGTGGGGATCCCCGCTGTGCAGAGGCCCGTAGTCCCCGGGTCCGGCCGGGAGACGGGAGAGGCTGGAGACGGGGTGGGGGCCGTTGACAGCGAAAGTGAAACAAAGCTGGGAGCCGGGCGTGCACCTCGCCGCCGGCCGACGCAGACGTCCCAGGCCCGGTGCCCCCTGCCACCCCACCCCCGCGGACCGTTCCCGGCCGAGCCTGTACCCCCACCCCCGGGGAACGGGCCCTGCCCCGCCGGCGGGGAACGCGCGCCGCGGCCCCACTCACCTCCGGCCTCCATGGAGGACGCGCGCGGCCTCGCGGCAGGCGGCGGGCGCCTCAGCCCCCCGGGCCGCCGGCCCTCATGCCGCCCCCACGCAGCCCGCCCCCGCCCCGGCCCCCGCCCCGGCCCCGCCGCCGCCGCGCCCGCCGCCGCGCCCGCCGCCACCCGGAGAGGCCATCAGCTGCTTCCCGTCACATGGCGGCGGGCGCGGGCGGGGGCGCGCGGGGGGCGGGGCCGGGGCGCGCAGGGGAGAAGCCGGGAGCCGGGCTGCGGGCGACGCGGGGCGGGCAGGTGGACCCTGGGGGCCGGGGGGAGGCGAGGCCTGAGGGGGAGTCGGGGATGTTGGGGCAGGTGGCCTCAGGCAGGATCAAGCGCGGATGGAGGGGCAACGGGGCTGATAAGGAGATGGGGAGGGTGGCGGGCAGAAGAACCTGGGGTTTGGAGGAGCCTGGTCCAGGGCAAAGAGGGGGCGAGGCGGCGTAAAACCCAGGGGTGGGGATGGGGTTCGGAGGAAAACGGGGGTCGGTGCGGCAGGAAGTAATCCCGGGACGAGGGTGGTACTGAGGGGAAAACCGGCGTGGGAGGCGGGCAGGTGAGGCCCGCAAGATAAAAAGGGGGCGGTGGCGGGGTATTCGGGGAGCTGGGCTGAAAGGAAACCGGGGCCGGCGAGGGCACGGGGGTGGGAGAACCCAGGGGCAGAGGGAACGCTTGTGGTAAAGCTGGAGCCGGGCTCGGGTGGAAAAGCGGGGGCGGGGATGGCGGTGCTGGGGTAGAAATCCGGGTTGGGGGAGAGATGGGTCCAACGGAGTGGGGAGGACTATAAGGGCCAGATAAGGACCGGAGATGGAGGGAGGAGGTGTGGGTTAAAAAGGAATGCGGTGGAGCTGAGGGGAAAACGGGGAGATGGGGCAGGGTGAAAATCGGAGTGGGGTGGGGGGCGGGAGTCAGTTTGGAAGGTGAACCTGAAGACCCAAGGAATCAGTATTGGGAAGACAAAAAGCGAAGACTGAGGAAAGAATTGGGGTGGGAGGTTGAGGGTCTGGGAACCCCGGAGAGAGGGAAGAAATGAGAGGAATAAAACTGGGGACCTGAGGCAGCAGGAAGCTCAGAGGTTAAATGGGAGCCACGGTAGAGGAGTCAAGGGGCTGAGTGCAGGGTCAGAGGAAGGGGTCGTGTTATAAAAAAATGGCAACCAGAAAAAGAAAGCCCATTGGAAAATGGAGGATGAAAACGAAAATGCTGTGGTTATAAGGGGAAGAGGGCAAGGGGCAAACAGCCAGAGAAAAAGAGGAGTTAAAAAGAGTGGGGTTCCAAAAGTGGACCAGCCAGATGAACTTGAGTGTGACCCAGGAAACAGGGAACAGAAGTGAAAGCAGGCAGAGGTAAAATGAAGGGCTGGAAAAACAAGCTGGTAATAAACACACACACAACATGGAGTGAAAGTCGCTCAGTCGTGTCCGACTTTTGGGGACCCCATGAGCACAGTCCATGGAATTCACCAGGCCAGAATACTGGAGTGGGTAGCCTTTCCTGTCTCCAGGGGATCTTCCCAACCCAGGGATCGAACCGTGGTCTCCCGCATTGTAGGCGGATTCTTTACCAGCTGAGCCACAAGGGAAGCCCCAGCACATGGAGAGACTCAATTAAAATGAACGTGGGAAACAGGTGACAGTAGGAAACATGGATTTGGTTAGAAGGTAAGGAACTTGAAAATGGGAGTTTTGATTAGAGTTCAGGAAGCTTGGAGTAAGGTAAAGAAACACAGGAGAGACAATGACCCAAGAAAAAAGCCTCTAACAGGGATAGGGAGTAGAGTTGGGCCTCCTCAAGTGGGAGTTGAGGTGAGACTTCAGTACTGTTTCTGTTCAGTCATTCAGTGTTGTCTGACTCTGTGCCACCCCATGGACTGCAGCATGCCAGGCTTCCCTGTCCTTCACTGTCTCTCACAATTTGCTCAAACTCATATCCATTGAGTCAGTGATGTGATCCAACCATCTCATTCCCTGTTGCCCCCTTCTCCTCCTGCCCTGAATCTTTCCCAGCATCATGGTCTTTTCCAGTGAGTCAATTCTTCCCATCAGGTGGCCAAAGTATTGGAGCTTCAGCTTCAAAATCAGTCCTTCCAATGAATATTCAGGACTGATTTCCTTTAGGATTGACTGGTTTGATCTCCTTGCTGTCCAAGGGACTCTCAAGGGTCTTGTCCAGCACCACAGTTTGAAAGCACCAGTTCTTTGGCATTCAGCCTTCTTTATGGTCCAACTCTCACATCCATACATAACTACTGGAAAAACCATAGCCTTGACTATGCAGACCTTTGTTGGCAAAGTGATGCCTCTGCTTTTTAATATGCTGTCTAGGTTTGTCATAGCTTTCCTTCCAAGGAGCAGATGTCTTAATTTCATGGCTGCAGTCACCATCTGCAGTGATTTTGGAGCCCAAAAAAATAAAATCTCTCACTGTTTTCATTTTTCTCCCCATCTATTAGTCATGAAGTGATGGGACTAGATGCCATGAACTTAGCTTTTTGAATGCTGAGTTTTAAGCCAGCTTTTTCATTCTCCTGTTTCATCTTCATCAAGAGGCTCTTCAGTTCCTCTTGACTTTCTGCCATTAATATGGTGTCATCTGCATATCTGAGATTATTGATATGTCTCACAGCAATCTTGATTCCAGCTTGAGCTTTATCCAGCCTGGCATTTCGCATGATATACTCTGCCTATAAGTTAAAATAAGCAGGGTGACAATATACAGCCTTGATATACTCCTTTCCCAATTTTGAGCCAGTCCATTGGTCCATCTTCAGTTCTGACTGTTGCTTCTTGACCTGCATACAGGTTTCTCAGGAGGCAGGTAAGGTGGTCTGGTATTTCCATATCTTTCAGAATTTTTCAGTCTGTTATCATTCAGTCAAAGGCTTTAGCGTAGTCAGTGAAGCAGAAGTATGGGGACTACTATTAGCTGAGCCCAGTGAGAACCTCCAAAACCACCAACCACTGCAGCGACCCAACAGCTTGCAGAAACTGTCTTTTCAGACGTCCATCAGTCTACTGCTCTATGACGATTCCTACCCTAACCCTTTAATGTGAGAAAACAGGAAGTCTGACCAAAAAAGAGGTATGTATTTGAGGATATACAAATACAATGGAGAGATGAAAGGGTAGGTAGCGTCTACAAGTCATAGAAAAGAATAAAATGGCAGCAAGAACAATATTGTAATCAGTATTGGGAAAGCAAGTTAAAAAAAATTGTGGATGGCAATCCCATTTCCCCAAATCTTTTAGTTTACTAATCAGGTCTAAATGAAGATCACTAAGCATTTATTTAAAAATAACTTTATTCTATTATCTTAAAAAACAAATCCATGTTCTAACATCAGGATGAATTTCTCCCAGCCCCCCACCTCCATACCAAATATTAAAATGTAAGCAGTGCAGAGAGAGCTGTTTCTTTTTGCAGCAGTTCCTGGCCAGGACCATGGTGAGAAATACCAGTTGGCACATGTTGCATCATAATAAATTTTACCCAAAAAAGATGATTTTCCAGGTTTCAGTGCCTAGGTGAGGGAGATTTTCCATCATGGGTTTTCCTGCTGCAGTAAGAGTATAGGTATGTGCTTGTGAGAATGGAAACTGATATCAAAGCCACAGGATTATGGGACCCCCCTCACCAAGGTCCACCAGGTTTTGCGGAAAAGGAATGTCAGTTGCAATGGCCCAGAAGTATTTATCTTCTAGGTTCTGATAAGTATATCTCCTGGTCTCCAGTTCACAATTCATTCAGGTAAGTTTTTTGTTTTTTTTTTTAAAGCACACTGTAACGAGTTGGACTTTGCCACAGAAAAGTCTATAACCCACTGTCGACCACGTGCTAGTGGAGTTGGGGATGGGTCATCTTAAAAGAACAGGAAAAAAAGCCCTAACTCTTTAAAAATCCTTAAAGCTTGAAGACCGCCCCCCCCCCCCCAACCCAGTACTTCAGCTCTTAACTGACCCAACAATATTATCTGTGCACACAGGGCTCAGATATACGTGACAGCAGTCACAGCTCAGCTGGACAAGGGTTTATCATGTTTGGCACCATGACCCTGAAGCTCCTATTTGCAAGGGGAAAATCCTTTCTTGAAGATTTCCTATCATCAGGTCAGAGGAAGTCACGGGGAGCATTTCCGTCATCTTGCAAATCATTGTCTGCCTTCCAGGTAGGGAATTCTGTGCCCCGCGGCCGCCCCCCCCCCAACAGTTTTTTTTGCTTTTCCTTTGTAAAATATGTTTGCCCCTGCACAATGGACTGTCAGATCCAGAAATGGATTCATCAAAGACTAGCTCAGTGTTCAGTGATTTTAAACACAGCCTGTCTTAAGATCCCGTTCTGAAATGACACTAACTTAGATTGGTGAGAGTGGTTAAGTACATGAGGTTCCATGCAGCAAAAGATCCAGCCCATCAAGAGAACAAGGCCACAGGAATTCCTGAGGGGTGGACACTGCAACCAGCCTCTGACTTCCCCAGTGTTCTGAGCTGAGGACAGGGCTCTCACTTCTGGTGACTTCCTCAGTTTAGTTCCTTCATCCAAGAAAATTGACCTGCCCCAACCACACCTGCAAGGTAACCCTGCAGATAACCAGCTTCTCAGAAGTCCCAGGCCCTGTTATCGGAGAGGAAGTTCTCCTTTAAGTCTTGCCTGTTTTAGAGCAGAATATGCAGTATTAAAGAGTGCAAATTCAAGTCAGATTTTCAAGTTTAGCACACATATTTTACACCCTTAAAAAGTCCCTGACGTTTTAAGAGATTAGGATGAAATCAGAAAGAAAAGGGGGAAAAAAAAACTCTATACAGGGATCTACTGGAAACAATAGCAGCTTCAACTCATCACATGTTATTTTCATTCAGAACTTAGCATTATTGAGCAGCGTATCCTCATAACATCCTTAGGAAGGAAATATGTTTTCCCAATCCCATTTCTGAGATCAAGAAACTGAGGCCACAGGTCTACTATGTTACAAAACATTCCTCCTGCCTTTTTCAAAGCCACAGGAGAAAGGAAGGGTGGGAAAGTCAAAGTTAATAGTGCATCACCTAAGAGGCTTTTCTATAAATATGAAGCTCTGACATATGTGAGGTTCGGGTGAAAGGCACTTCCTCTTATCACTCCCTATCTCTTTTGAAAGGAATTTCATCTCTAGGAGAGCAAAAATCCACAGGAGAGCTCTGATGATGCCCTGGTCTGGAACCATTCTACAGAGAATGAAAGGCCCAGGCAGCAGTTTGTAACTGAACAGCTGACATCTTTTTTTCTTCCACTAGAGAAGGCAAAGGAGATGTAAAGTAAGTGTGATTTCACCCATTTCACAGGTGAGGAAATTGAGGCTCAGGGGAAAAGGTAAAGCTACCTGCCCAAGCCTGTGGAACAGGCAAGGAGCCGGGTCCAGATTGAAGCCTGGGTGTTTCCAACTCAAATCCCAAAGCAAACTGCCTCCCTCTGATTAACAGCAGTAGCTGGCACCTCTTCACCTTTCCAGAGAGCTGATGTTCACCTGGTTCCTCAGCTCACCTAGGCAGTGAGAAAGGAAATATCCTTATCACCCCATACTGTTACCTTCTGTACTAGGACGGGATAGTTACAGACCTTTAATAGTGACAAAGGACAGCGAGGCCTACTGCCTCCCCCCACTCCTGCTCCCCATCTCAGCATCAGTCAACCTGGAGAAAGCCCAAATGGAGCTTTCCCCACATACACTACCCATTCCCAAAAGCTTTTCACCATCACTGAGAAAAGTTACAGTAAATCAAACCAATTTAGAAAAAAAGGGGGAGTGGGGGTAGGAAAGATGTATATGTGTTTTCCTATTTTGCTGAGAACCTCCAAACCCTTTGCAGCCCTCTGGCAGGGGTGCAAATCAAGTAAAGCAGAATATGAAATTCATCTTAAACACAGCTTTCCAAGCTTTTGAGACAAGATATCAAAGGACAGTTGTCTTCTTCACACTGGCCTGTCTTCTTCTTGAATGATGTCACTCTGCTGCTCACTGCTGTCATCTGTACGGGAGGGAAAAGTAGACCCAACTCTGAGCAGTGCTCTCAGTAGAGATGACTCTGTTTCTCCCTTCAGTTTTCTTTTTCAGGAGGTGGGGGCTGCTCAGCTTATAGGGTCTTAGTTCCCTGACCAGGGATTGAACCCGTGCCCCTTTCAATGGAAGTCTTAACCACTGGACCACCAGGGAAGTCCCTCCCATCAGTTTTCAGTCACCTTGATTTCCAGTCCTTTACTGGTGAGTTTCATGAATGAGCAGTTGGAGTAGGGTGGGTTTCCCTGCCTTGCATCCATTCTTTCTACTCAGAATCCACTGACATGCTTGACACTGTCCACATTTCTTAGCTCCTGACATTCCCCTCACCTGGACCACCCTCTGCTTTCTGCTTGTTCAAACTCAACTGTCCTGAAAGACATGCCTCATAGCCCACATCTTTTACAAAATGTCTCCCAACCAATGCATCCCTCTGGGCTCTCATCTTTCTCCTGAGGTCCTGTAATTTGTAAAAGTATCATTCATCAGGCAAGTAATCATTCTTTCGCGCCACAACTCTACTACCCTTGCAAAGCGTTGGTTAAATATTCCTTCTATTTTCATTTTCCCTTCATATTTTAGTCTGTTCATCCTAACTGCTTTCGTAAAGCCCATCACCATTGGTCTTGATTTTCTGGTGCCTGACAGTACCAATCTGTGTCTTTTCCCAGAGTTGGCTCTCAGTAAGTATTTGTCAGTTTAATTGTTGTGTTTGTAGTTGATGGGAGATTCTCAGATTCTAGATTAAACTTTAACTGTCTTTCCCGGCCCTTAAAAAGCAGACCCTTGGAGACTTCTTCCTGGGAAGCCCACCACAACCTTGCAGAGTGCTTTAAAGGGCAAAGAGCTTACCCTGCAGAGCCTGCAGTCCATTGCCCATCTGGTCCACATTCCCGTTCACCAGCGCAGTCACTCTGTGAATGTGGCCATACTTGGTTATTTCTATTGGCGACTCCTCCCTCTCACTAGCTTCCTCCTCTTCCTCTTCTGCAGGGTCTTCTTCCTCCTCCATCTCTTCCTCTTCCGAATCCACCAAAACCATGACATCACCCATGTCTTGCCTCCTAATTTCCAAAAGGGAAGAAATGATCACGAAGATACCCTGTTTTCTCCAACTTCAGCCCTCACTGAATAGGAACACTCAGTTCTCTGCATCCCCTTTGGTAACATGGACAATTCTTCATGGACTCAACATGGTTGAGTTGTAAGATGGAGATGATGACCTTTCAAAGAGGTGCTGCCACAGACTGTCTAGATAATCACACCTTGTGCTGGGTGAATTTTATCATCCCCCCTCCTGTCTCCCCACTGTTCGTCTGGCAGGTGACCTCATGATCCCAAGCACCCACCATTTCAGTTCCCCTCGCAGCACGTACACAGATGCTCTGTTCCTTTCCTGAAATGCCCTTATTTCTCCTCTACTTACTGAAATTTCTCCTCCTTTTCATTATTCAAAGCCCTAGTAAAGTCCCCTCCCTCCTCCTGCAGCCTTGAGCTGTGACTGAGTTTGGCATCCACAGCCAGCTGTTTGGCACTGAATTGTCCTCTAGATGATTGCTAGTTCTGCCTCCCCACCCAGACTGTACATTTCATGGGCTAGTCACAATCCTGTGAGCATGACATTCTCATTTAATCCTCACATCCTGCCTCTGAGAAACAGCTGAGGAAAAAACCTCAGAGAGGGTCAGGGCTTTTGCAGAATCCTCAGGCTTGAAGGGCAGAGCAGCCATGTGAACCCAGGTCCACTTATTCCAAAGACTTTTCCCATTATGCCAAGCTGCTCCCTCTATGAGAAGTAAGCCTGGGGAAGGACAGACTCATGCCAAAATGACCGTCAAAAATGGGGCAGTACAGGTAACACTCTTCCATGAAAGATGGTGCCAGAACAATGAAATCTCATTATTCATCCCAGAACAGTAATACCCCAAATTATAAGCAGATAAGAGGAGCGAAGAGAAGCGTTCCTTGCTTCCGTGCAGGCTCTCCTGGGAAGTCAAGTTCCATTTAATTGTTTCTCCCCTACTAAGGTTCCCTCCTTTTGGGAGGGGCTTCTGGGCATGCACAGACTAGTTTTCCAAAGCATGCTGTAAGATTATGACTTATTCTTCCTTTTAGCTCTTTGCAGAAAATTAGATAAATACATGAATGACTGAGCTCAACACATACATGCTGTCTTTATACCTCAAGGACAAACCAGCAATGTGCCTCGCCCTGAGGTCTGGTGTTGAAAAGGAGCACAGACTTTGCAATCAATCAGACCTGGGTCTGACTGCAGGCATGGCCATCACTTCCTAGATGAGCCTGCAGAAACTGCTTCACTTCAGTGAGCCTCCCTTGCCTTATCTGGAAAATGGCGATGCCAGCAGCACCCTGAGGAGTGTGTGATGGGGTCTCTAATAATGCCTGAGGAAGCCCCAGCCCCAGGTCTGGCCCCTGGTGGGTCCCCACTGGTAGTGGTTACTACTGCTCTTATGAAATGTTATAAACAAAACATCAGTGAAAACAGATTATGGAAATGGGTTTCTGATTTGCGTCTAGGGTACACTCACCTGAAAGTGCTTCCTACTGAAAGGAAAAAGGAAAAAACATTAATATCCAATAAGATCCACTTTGGCCTCACAGAAGTTTCTAAGCCAGCTAACAGTTACAAAAGGATGGGCAATGAGAAAACTGACCCAATGATGACAGGGCGCTCAGGAAGGGTACTTGGGTGCTTCATTATTGCAAATCTGGACCCAGTTTGGAAGCCTACAGAATGGAGCTTCAGGTGGGAGCATAACAGGGACCATCTTCCCCCACCCGTACCCCCTCAGGAAGCCTGCAAGAGAAACAAAGGGGCCCAGGAAGTCCTTACCATTCCGGGAAGCCCTTACCTTTCCAGCAGAACACGGGGCTGTAATACAACAGGAGCCCGGCGATAATGGCCAGTCCCAGCAGAAGGAGGCTCACAACGGTGGCCACAATTCCCCCGATGTTTAAAGGTTCTGCAAAGACACACCACACCCTTCACTCATCCACGTGATACACACTCAGCTAGGAGTGCAACACCTCTCCTCCCCTGCCTGGATCCTACCCTTGTCTTGGTTTCATGACCTTGGGTGAGGCATATGACCTCTCTGTGGACTGTGTTAGTCACTCAGTCGTGTCCGACTCTTTGCAACCCCATGGACTGTATCCCACCAGGCTTCTCTATACAAGGAATTCTCCAGGTAAGAATCCTGGAGTGGATTGCCATTCCCTTCACCAGGGGAACTTCCCAACCCAGGGATCGAACTCTGGTCTCCTGCTTTGCAGGCAGATTCTTTACCATTTGAGCTATAGGGAAGTCTCATGACCTCTCTGTAGAGCAAGACAAATATCTCATTTTCCTACTTCAGACAGTTTGTGGGAATCAAATGAAGTATGTGATGCAAAAGAATGTTGGAAAGTTAAAATCTCTGTGTCTTCATATATCAAGACTGTTGTTAAGGCTACAGTAATTAGGAGTGTGAATTACTGGTGCCGCAATGACGTGATCAACAGAACAGAATAGGAAGGGACTTCTCTGGTGGTCTAGTGGTTAAGACAGTGGGCTTCTACTCTATAGGGCATGGGTTCGATAAGAACAGGTCTATGAACAAAAGGAAACTTGATATAGGATAGACTAGTGAGTAAAAAAGGAACTCTTCAGAAAGTGGTGCTAGACCAAATGGTTATCCAAACTGGGGTGGAGGAAACTTGATGTCTACTTCCTCCATTCACCAAAGTCAACTGTAGATGGGCTACAGAGTTAACTGTGAAAGGCAAGCAATAAAACATTAAGAAGACAATATAGAAGAATGCCTTCATGGCCATAGGATAGATAAGGATTTCTTAGGACACAGAAATGCTACTGATACAAGAAAATATTCATAAAATCAACCACATTAAAGAACCTCTGCAAATCAAAGGATACCATAAAGAAAGCAAGAAGGACTAACTGAAAGATATTTGTAACATGTAAAACAAGGATATTAGTGTGTGGAATTTCCGAAGAACTCCTATATATCTATAAGAAAGAGGAAAACATCAAAAGAGACAATTATGGGGAGTTCCTTGGTAGGCCAGTGGTTAGGATTCCAGCTGCTGCTGCTGCCAAGTCACTTCCAGGCCTGAATTCAATCCCTGGTTGGGGAAGATCCAGAAGGCCATGTGATGTGAGCAAAAGAAAAAAAAAAACTTTTTTTTTTTACAGAGTTCCATCGTTTATGAAACAGAGACTCCATTTAAGACTGTTCTCATAGAAAGCAGTTGAAGAGCAGTCATTTGGATGGGGAGGAGGCTAGTGGACCTGTGACTCTCAGGAACCTTCCTGCAGTGGCCACAGCTGGGGAAGGGGTGCTGTCCACCCTTTGGCTCTGTCTCCATCCTGGGCATCTGCTCAAGGATCACCCTCTCGTGGTTCTGACCCCTCTGACCTTGGCCCTTGGGGGACTTCTTGACTTGGCTGTTGTCATTCCAGATTCATATATTATGCCTCTTCCTAGAGAAACCTGAGAATTCCTCTGGAAGCTTCAGATGCTCCAAGAGCAAATCAGTTAGTGCTTTGAATTCACATGTTAACAAACAGGTTATTTAGCATCACTCCAAAAGAGTAACACAAATTACCTCTAACTATGGATGGACTATGGATGGATGGTTGTTGTTTAGTGGCTAAGTCGTGTCCAACTCTTTTGAGACCTCATGGACTATAGCCCGCAAGGCTCCTCTGTCCATGGGATTTTCCAGGCAAGAATACTGGAGTGGGTTGCCATTTCCTTCTCCAAGAAAAAAAAATTTTAATTTTTAAATAAACTAAAACTATTTTTAAAAAAGCACAATTATATATTTCATAGAAGAAACCTAAATAGCAAATAAGCATATGAAATAATGCTCAGCCTTCTTAGTAATCAAAGAAATTCAAATTAGAACCACAGTGAGATTTCATTTTGCACTTACTTGATGAGCAAAAATCACAAAATCTGTGGTTGAAAATCTGGGACAACTGCCATTTCAAATGGAAATTGGTATAATCACTTTGGAAAATAATTTGGTATTACCTCATAAAGATAAAAATGCACATAACTTATAACGCTTCACTTCTACTTCTTGGTACAGATATGCTGGAGACATATTTGCCTGGAGACCTGAGTATATGCGCACAGGGGGCTGGGTAAAAGACTTTCACAGCAACACTGTCCATCACAACAACAACAAATCAGAACAACTCAAATGTCCGTCAGCAGGAAAATCAACTAGTTAGTTGTGCAATAGTGCTACAGTGGAAAATTATGCAGCCATGAAGAGACATGAAATAAAATTACACATGTCAGCATGAATAAATCCTGGAAAACAAAATGTGGAGCAAAAATAGCAAGTCGCAAAAAGACTACATTTGTATGATAACAACAAATTCTTTTCAAAACTCTAAAACAAAAGCTAAACAATATATTATCTAGAAATGTGTACATATGCAGCAAAATTTTTCTTAAATAAAACATGAAACTGAGGAGTTACCTTTTTCAGAAGGCCCAGGATGAGACTGAAAACAGGCCTACAGGTAGGGTTGCCAGATAGAATACAGTATGCCCACTTAAATTTGGATTTCAGATAAACAATGAATAATTTTTTTAGAATAAGTATGTCCCAGGATTTCCCTGGTGGGACAGTGGCTAAGCCTCCATGCTCCCGATACAGGGGGCCTGGGTTCAATCCCTGGTCAGGAAACTGGATCTCACATGCTGCAACTAAGACTCAGTGGAGCCAAATAAAAAATAAAAATTAAAAAAAATAAGTATGTCCGATGCAATATTTGGGACATAACACTTAAAAAAAAATTCTTTGTTTTTCTAAAGTGCAAATTTAAGTGAGCAGCATATTTTTTTAGTTTTGCTGCAATTGTTTTCTAAATCTGCCACACTACTTACAGGTAACTTCAGCAGTGTTGGTTACTGTTCTATATCTTAAGTGGGATGGTAGTTTCTTGGGTGTTCATTTTGCTGTTATGTTTCATAGCTTACATTATATATATACATATATCTCATTATATCTTTTATTTTAGACATGTATTTTAATATATATTTATGTTTTATATATATATATATATAATTTTTTTCCTTTAGAATGTAACTGATATTAAATAACTTTTGTATCTTCCGTAGTGGCTCAGGTAGTAAAGAATCTACCTGCAATGCAGAAGACCCGGGTTCGATCCCTGGGTTGGGAAGAAATAAATTTTTTTACCTTGATGCAACAGTTGGAGATTTAGGACTGGACAGTAATTTCCCATCCCTCTTGTCAAGCCACCGGTAAGCAGATATGCCCCCTCCCTGACGGCAGTGACACATGAGGGAAGCACAAGCTGTCGCCATGCTGTCCTCTGAAGCTCTGCTCCTTCAGGGTCACTTCCATCACTCACCTTTCACGCTCAGCCAGACGTCCACCTCCCTCGCCCCCACGGCGTTCTCCGCCCGGCAGACGTAGTATCCCTCGTCCCGGTCCTGGGAGCAGTTGCGAATAGTGAGGGTGGAGCTCTGGCCACTCTGGGTGATGAGGTGGTGGCCGCTGGGCTGGATGACCACCTCGGGCTGGGTGAGGTTCCTCAGCCACAGGATCTTGGCAGGGGGGTAGGCTCCAGACACCTGGCAGGTAAGCGTCACATTGCCCCCCACGAAGCAAGTCTTCATGGGCTCAGAGAGAAGGGAGGGGCTCCCTGGCCATCAGAAGAAGGTAAAGAAAAATAAACATTTAAGGAGATTCAAACGGTGACCTGAGAATTTCAAGAATGTTACTTGTTTTGGAACAAAGCAACTCCAGGGATATCTGTACCACACCTGGTCTCATAAAATAATAAAAGATAATATTTGTTGAGCATTTACTATGGACTAGGCACTATCGCTAAGAGTCAGACACGACTGAGCGACTTCACTTTCACTTTTCACTTTCCTGCATTGGAGAAGGAAATGGCAACCCACTCCAGTGTTCTTGCCTAGAGAATCCCAGGGACGGGGGAGCCTGGTGGGCTGCCGCCTATGGGGTCCCACAGAGTCAGACACGACTGAAATGACTTAGCAGCAGCAGGCACCGTATATATCAACCCAACTAGTTCTCAACAATAATCTTGTTATCCCCATTTTGCAGATAGGGAAACAGAGGAACAGAGAAAGTCAAGTAACTTAAAGTCACACAACTAAGGAAGTGAGCAACTAGAATTTAGGGGGACCAACTGTCCTGGGTTGCCCAAGACTGAGGGGATCCCTAGCACCTGGGGGCTTTCAATGCTTGGGAAGTCCTAGGCAAACCAGGATGAACTGGTCTGTGTAAGAATGGAACCCAAGAAGTCAGGCTTTTGTGGTCCACATCTCCTTACTTCCTATGTTCTAGGCTTCTGTGTGTAATAACCACACTGATCAGATAAAATACGGGCACACACCCTGACAAGGGTGTTCAGGGGACAGGAGGGCACCTGTATTAGTTTCCTGTTGTTGTTGTTGTAACAAATTGCACAGACTTAACAGCTTAAAACAATACAAATTAATCCCTTTATAGTTTTATAGTTCTGGAGGTCAGGCATCTAAACTAATCTCACAGAACTAAAGTCAAGGTGTTGGCAGAGCTGGTTCCTTCCGGAGACTCAAGGAGAGAATCCATTTCCTTTTTTCTCGGCTTCTAGAAAGGAGCCACCTGCATTGTTTGGCTCATGACCCCTTCCATGAATTACTCCTACTGCTTGCATCTGTCATCACAAATCACTACCACACTGACCCTCCTGCCTCCCTCTTATGAGGACCCTCGGGATCACACTGGGCCCAACCAGAGAATCCTGGACAATCTCCCCATCTCAATATCCTTGATCATGGATGCAAGGTCCCTTTACCATGTAAGGAAACAAATTCACAGGCTCTGGGGATTAGGATGTGGATATCTTTGGGGGGCCATCCTTCTGTCTACCACACGTCTGTCCTAGAAAGACTGCATCCCTGTGGCCTTGGGGTCTAATTTAAGGAGAAGGGGAGCCATGAGATCTACCATGAGGATCAGTCTGTATCCTTCACACAGGAAGCCTTTCCCCTAATACACATCCTCTTGGGAAGGGTAGTAAATTCATCTTGGGAGGATTTATTAAATCCAAATTTTCAGCATCTGAGGGATACAGAGCGGCATGTTGGGTTCCTGCCCGGGAAAGTGAAACTACACGCTTCCCCTTGGCAGTTGTTCCAAGAGAGAATCTAGGGTTTCACTGCTGGCGTCCAGGGAAGAAGGAAGAGGGAAGGGGGAAAGGGTTGGGGGTGGAACAACCTCTCTCTAGGTCGGGTCAACAGAGGAGAATCGCCCAAACCTGGTTTTGCTCAGAAAAATCACCTGCGAACACCGCTTCTTGAATCAACTATCAGATTCCCCCCATGTTGTTGCTAAATTGCTCCTTCCCTGCTTGTGGTTAACCAGAATTTCCTTTGGGGTCACAAAGCCGGCAGCAGTGACAAGCCTCATCAGTACGTTTGTATTTCAGGGTCCCAAACCAAAGTTTGAGAAATGGCCCCTTCTTCCTTTATTAAAGGCAAAACAAACAGTCCCCCAGTACACCTCCCCTGCAACCCAAAGGTATGTACTTTCGCCAAACACAGCATTCACCCCTCAAAAAGCTATGTCACCAGCCAGCTCGGGTGGCACTTATAAATTCAGAGTTTCACTTAAGAGGATGCTGCATGCAAGGGTGGGGCAGGGGTAGGTTGGTGCTGCGGAGCCTCACAGATCTGCAGGAGATGGACAGCATGCTAGGGCCCTCACACATGGGGCTCCACAATACTGCAGCTTGTCATGAGTTGAGTTGGTTTCTTCAGTTTTAGGGGTCCTACATGCCATATAATATGGTAAAGGACAGGGAAGCCTAGCATGCTGCAGTCCATGGGGTCGCAGAGTCTGACATGACTGACTGAACTGAACAAAACACGCCATAATAAAGAGGGATCTGGGGAGTTCTCCGGTAGTTCAGTGCTTAGGAGTCAGCGCTTTCACTGCTGTGGCCAGGTTCAATCTCTGGTTGGAGAACTAAGATACTGCAAGCCATGCAGCACAGCCAGAAAAAAAGGAAGAGAAAAATAAAGAGAGATCTGGGCAGCAGGAATCCCTGAAAGCATTGCTTTTCATCAGCTTGGGGGCTATGCTGCCCTGCATCCCTGGGTGGATATTAGTATTGCCCTTCAATGAGCACTAGTCCTACGTGGAATGATCCAGAGCCCCTCAACCCCAAGGCATTGCTACTCAAGGTGTGGTCCTCAGACCAGCAGGATCAGCACTTCCTGGGAGCCAGTTGAAAATGCAGTCTTGGATCCACCCAGACCCAGAGAGTCAGAATCTGCATTTTAACCAGCCCCTCAGGTCACCAGCATGCACATCCAGAGTCAAGTGCCCATGAGGGAGGCAGGGAGAACTGGATGGTATCAGAGTTGAGAAGGGTCCTGGCTCTGTGCCTGTTTCCTGTGCTCCTGGAATTGGGAAAACTTCTGGTCAGCTCCCGTTTCCATACACATTTCTTAGCCCTGAGCACATATTTAGATTCAGATTACGGATCAAGTCTCAGGGGCCACAGGAATAATGACTTAGGCAAGATGTGCAAATAAAATGAGAGGGTGAGGGCAAAATAACAAACCTCGCCAGCTGCCTCTGCCAATTTCACCCTCTCTCAGCATTAGTCCATCATTCATTCACTTCCCGGGACTTACGGTCCACAACACACTTTGGGCATTTCCCCATTATGTACCACCCTGAGTGTGTCTACTGCTTTCTAGTTGCATGAGTCTGGGCAAGTCAGCTCCCTCTGTTTCACCTTCTGTAAAATGGAGTGTCCTCCCAAAATTTGTGTTCATCTTGAAGCCCAGAATGTAGTCTTACTTAGAAATGGAGTCTTTGCAGAGGTAACTAGTTAAGGATCTCAAGATGAAATCATCCCAGATTGAGGGTGGACCCAAAATCCAAGGACTGGTACCTTATAAGAAGAGGAGAGGGACTTCCCTGGTGCTCCAGTTGTCAAAGACTCCATGCTTTCACTGCAGGGAGTGCAGGTTAGATCCCTGGTAAGGCAACTAAGATCACACGTGCCACGTAGCAAAAAAAGAAAAATGAAGAGGGGAAGGCACAGGGAGACACACCCACAGAGAGGAAGGCCACATGAAGACAGACACAGGCACCAGAGTGATGGAGCCGCAGGAACACATCAGAGCCATCAGGAAGTGGAAGAGGCTATGAAGGATTCTGCCATGAAGGCTTTGATGGGAGCACGGCCCTGCCAACACCTTGATTTCAAACCTCTAGCTTCCAAAACTGAGAGAGGATAAATAGCTGTTGTTTTAAGCCACCACCAAGTTTGTGGTACTGCAACTCCGGGAAACTGATTCTGGGGGATAATACTGCAAGGCCTCAGCTCACCAGCTGATTGAGGACTGAACGAGATGCTGTGTGCAAAATACTCGGCACCTGCACAGGATCTGCACTCAATAAAACATTACTGTCTCTACTACAGTTGACCCTACAACAACATGGGGGTTGGGGGGCCAGTCTGTGTGGAATCTAAAATCCATGTCCTGCTATCTCTGCCTCAAACACAAAGAAAATGACTCACCCAAGGATAGGAAGCTGAAATAGTTTTGGATAGCATCAGGACTCAAACCCTAGTTCTTTTGATTCCACATCTTAGCTTTCTAATCAGACACAAACTTTCCCCGACTCTGAGTTAAAGATCTATAAAATGAAAATATAGGTACTATATTTATTGGGGGAAAAAAATCCACATGTAAGTGGAACCTCACAGTTCAAACCTGCCCATGCTGTTCAAGGATCAGCTGTATTGTGATATTGCCATTTTCTGGTTTAAGTTTGCCAGACTTCTCTCTCCAAGTTTAAGTCTTTTAAAGGGAAGGACTCTGTATTCCTTCATAGCACCTGGCACCATACATGCATCTGTGTCTGACTTCAGTCTTGTCTGACTTTTTGCAACACTATGTAGCCTGTCAGGCTCCTTTGTCCATAGGATTCTCCATACAATAATACTGGAGTGGGTTGCCATGCCCTCTTCCAAGGGATCTTCCTGACCCAAGGATCGAACCCGCATCTCTTATGTCTCCTGCACTGGCAGGCTGGTTCTTTATCACTAGCCACCTGCGAACCCCACTTGGCACCATGCTGAGTACCTAAATCCCACACGAAGAAAAGATTTGCCAGATCAAGTGTGGAAAGAGGTCACCTGGATAAAAGCAAGGGCCCTGGCGTCAGACCAGCCTAGCTAAGTGCTGCTCCATCCCTTAAGAGGTGGCTGATCCTGGGTAAGTTAGTTCATACATGTTATCATCTACAAGTTACGAATCATCCTAATTTGCAGGCTACTATGAGGATTACAGATAATACGTTAACAAGTAAGATACAAAGACCTTTTGAGCACAGAAACCTAAAACAGGACTGACAAAGGCGACCCTTTCAAAATCAGAAATTGCTCATCACCAGCAGAAATGTCACAAATATGGTTTAGGAACAAGATATGCCAGAATAATATCTATAATGTGCATGACAGTTCAATGAAATTAAGTGACTCTTGTGAAATAACAAGAAACGACAAAGAAGCCAATAAAAAAGAATGGACAGGATATGAACAGATAATTCACAGATAATATATAGGAAGCCAATAAGTGTATGAAAATTATCAACCCCACCAGTGATCAAAGAAACCCAGATTAAAACAATTAGCCATGTCCCAACTAACAAACAGGAAAAAATTTTTTAAATTAGTAAGACTCAATGTTGGTGGAGATACTGGGAAATAAATATCCTCGCATGGTCTTTCTAGAGAGAGTGACTGCCAGTAGGTACAGGGTTTCTTTTGGGGTGATGGAAATGTTCTGGATTAGAATGGTGATGGTAGTACAACACTGTGAATATACTAAAAAAAAAAAAAAAAAAAACACCGCACTGAATTATACACTTTAAAATAGTGAATTTTAGGGAATTCCCCAGTGGTCCAGTAGTTAGGACTCCATCCTTTCACTGCTGAGGGAGCAGGTTCATCCTGATTGGGGAACTAAGATCCCACAAGCTGCATGGTGCAGACCTTCCCCCACCCAAAAAAAAAAAAAAAAAGTGAAATTTATGTTATGTGAATTATATCTCATTTCTTAAAAATTGCCCCCAAAACAGTTCTGTTAGATTTGGTCCATGGCGCACAGTTTGCCAACCCCTGTCCTTGGGCAGAAAGTGAGTCCTGGTCCCTTATGTTGCCCAAGGCTGGGTACAGTACCTGACAGAGGGGACACATGGGGACAGTGTGCTCAATTAGTGGAAAGGGTCAGAATTTCAAATGCCACTCGCCTAGGAGAACAAGCACTTGCTGGTACACCAGGGCTCACTTCTCAGCGTGTCCACTCTCCACACTGCACCTCTGAGGATTATTCTCATAAACTGTGAGGACAACCTCACCAGGGCCAACACAACCCAACATACTTTGGCCCTGGCTTACTCATGGCCTGAGGCTGCTGTAACAAAGAACCACAAACTGGGTGGTTTAAAACAACAGAAATTTTTTCTCACAGTTCAGAAAGTCTGAAGTCCTAAATTAAGGTGTCAGCACCTTGCCCTGTATGAATTCCTGGTCCACAGAAATCATGAGGTAATGATTGTTGTTTGAAGCCACTAAGTTTAGGGATAATTTGTTCCGTGGACAAATTGAACCTTTGTCATTTGTCAACAGACTAATGAACCTTGTCTCTTTTGTTCACGGCTCCATCTTCAGTACTTAGAAACTTGTGCCTGGCATGTAGTATGTGCTCAGTTATTATTTGTCAAGAGAAAACCAGTTTGGACTAGAACCAAGAAGTTTCATTATGCATCTTTAAAGTTCGAAAGGAAGGAAGCATAAAGCAAAAGGAAGGGCATAGGGAAGGAATGGAGTGGGAGTTTGGAGTTAGCAGATGCAAACCAGCATATACAGAATGGATAAACACGATCCTACTGTATGGCACAGGAAACTATATTCAATATCCTGTGATAGGGACTTCCCTGGTGGTCCAGGGGCTAAGACTCCACACTCCCAATGCAGGGGACCTAGGTTCTATCTCTGGTCAGGGAACTAGATCCCACATGCCCACATTGAAGATTAAAGATCCTGTGTGCCACAGCTAAGACCTGGCACAGCCAAATAAATAAATACTCTGTGATAAACTACATTGGAAAAGAATATTAAAAAGAATATGTATATATATATATGTATATGTGTGTATGTGTGTATAACTGAATCACTCTGCTACCCCGCAAAAGTAACACAGTATTGTAAGTCAACTATACGTCAATTTTTAAAATTAATTTTAATAAATTAATTTAAATTAATGATTTATTTTGTTAATAAATAATTATTAATTAATAATACTTTGATTTTTAAAAAAAAGAAAATGGGAGGAAGATATGAAAGGAATTCAGTCTACTCCAACACCCCAGGATCTCTTTCCCAGACCCTCTTTCAAAGGGTTGTCCCAGAAGACAGGAAGGTGAGTGGACCCCAACCCCAGGTCAAGGCAAGGCAGACTCACTGATCTGTACCACACAGCTGGCTCCCAACTCCGGCCCCACTATGTGGCTCCCGACACACTTGAACTTCTTGCCATCTGACAGCTGGGACTGGCTCAGCATCTCCACCCCCAGCTTCGATGTCCCCACAACCACACCTCCTGGCTCTTCTGTCCACAGGAAGTCCGGCTCTGGGTATCCCCCCGCCCAGCGACAGTTGAGCTGCAGTGAGAACAATCCTGGCGACACCTCTGCCCAGCACTGGGGGGCTGACGGAGGGGGAGCTGCAAAATACCAGAGAACGTGGCCTTAATCACAGACTAAGATGAGTCACTGGGCTGACTCTAAGGATTACAGAACCAGGGTATCAGAGAAACAGCAACTCCAGTTAGTGTATCTTGAAATAGATCCTAGCACAAGTCAGTGCCTGACAGAAGTCGGGTTTCCCCTGCTGGGTGTTAAGTCTCTGAAGAGATTTGCATTTCTCACTAGCCACATGTGGCTATTTGATTTAAATTAATTACAAATTTAGTTCCTCCATCACACTACCTACATTTCCTAGTAATCACACGTAGGAGGTGGCCACTGAAGTAGACCACACACAAGAGAACATCTCCATCATCACAGAAAGTTTTACTGGACACTGCTGATCCCTGGAGGGCATAACAGGAAGAGAGAGACTTATTCATCCCCAATCCTCAACACACACTTTTTTTGCTATGTGCAAATACAATTTAAAAAAAAAATATTAAAAAATTTAACAAATTACAAACTTGTAATGTAACCCATGTATTCATAATTATACATAAAAAATAGTTATGTATTATGTATATATCATACATTTATATATTTATATAGTATATAAATATTTTATATAAAAGTATTTTCTATAATATGTAAATATTTTAAATACTTTATATATTTTATATAATATACATAAATAGAAATTTGGATCTCATATGGGTAGATATGTGGCATCTACAAGAAAAATTATTGGAAATACAGCAAAACGATGGTGAGAGTATAAGTGATTATTTTCTTCTTTCTACTCGTCTGTGTTTCCCGCAACAAGGAAATGACTTTATGTAACTTTATACACAATAAATGTCATTTATGATAGAGAGCATTGAGACTTACAAAGGCTCTGAGTAATGTGGAAAGAAACTGTGTCATTACCCTGCCTTCTAATTTGTTGTCCTCATGCTCCCTTTCATTAGCGTGGATTATGGTGCACCCTGCATTTCTATAGTGGTTTTCCTCCACTGAATGCGTGCATGAGTGTATTTGGTTGTTTCCTCACCTGCAAAATATAGCTTCATGAACCACGTGTTCTTAACAGCGCTAGAGGGCCTGAGTTCATGGACAACATGAGTAAGGACAGATGCATGGATAAACAAATGGTAGTAGATCCATAAAATAGATACTCTTCAGCCATAGGTGAACACAAGTACTGACAGAAGCTACAACAGGGATGAGCCGTGAAAACACGATGCTAAGTGAAAGAAGTTAGTCCCAGGGATTTCCCTGGTGGCCCAGTGTTTAAGACTCTGTGCTCCCAGTGCAGGGGGTGAAGTTACATCCCTGTTTGGGGAACTAATGATCCCACATGCCATGCATTGCAGCACCCCCCCCAAAATAACCTCCATTAAAAAAAAAAAGAAGCCAGTCTCCAAAGGTCAGATAGTGTATGATTCCATTTTTATGAAATGTCCCAAACAGGAAAGTTCATAGATACAGAATGTAGATGAGTGGTTGCCAAGGTCTGGGGAAAGAGGATATGGGAGTGACTGTTTAATGGGTACAGGGTTTCCAATTTGGGGTGATGAAAATGTTTTGGAAATAAACATGATGGTTGCACAACACTCTGAATAGACTCAATGCCATTGAATTGTACATCTTAAAATGGTTAATGTTACATTATATAGTTTCACCTCAAGAAAAAAAACTTTAGACCTAGCATAAATTCCCTTCTGTGGCTCACAGGGACTCCTGTACCCCTAGTTAGCAGCGAGCTTCCAGAAAAGGCAACATTCTCTCTGACATGCAGTTCGGGTGTGTCCATGTGTGTTGAGGGAACCACAGAAGCAGGTTAGGACCCGTGTATCAGGGACGTCTTTGCGCACAAAGGGAGGCACACACACACAGGTCACAGAGGGTCAAGGTGGAGAAGAGGAGGAGGGGGCGTTTCTTACGCACAGTAGACCAGGAGCTCGGTGGTCACCTTTCGATGTCTCCCGCTGAGCACGTTTTTGGCCAAACAGGTATAGTTCCCTTGCAAGTTCTGTGACATTAGTAACAGCGTGAAGCAGCTGGCGGTCAGGTTGTTCCCAAAGAGTTCGGCGGTGGAATCTGGGGCCTGGAACCACCACTCAACCACGGGTGGAGGCCGGGATCTGCTGCTGCAGCTGAAGTCCACCTGGGAGCCCTTGGCGGCGTAGCGGGTGCCGTTGGGGAGCCTGCCAGTGCTGGAGATGTTGACCTCAACCTGTGAGGGGCCGTCTGCAGACAACAGGGTGGTGGGGAAGGCAGAAGAGTTAACGGGGGCCCCTCAGCAGCATTAAGGGACATAGAAATGATGACGCAGCAGCCAGTGAAGATGACAACACTACTTACTGTGTGACAACTGCTGTGCGGCCTGCCCTTAGTCATGCTCTCATTTGTTGCTATTGTTAAGTCGCTAAGTCATGTCCAGCTCTTTCCAACTCCATGGACTGTAGCCCGCCAGGCTCCTCTGGCCATGGGATTTCCCAGGCAAGAATACTGAAGCAGGTTGCCACTTCCTTCTCCAGGGGATCTTTCTGAAGCAGGGATTGAACGTGCGTCTCCCTTATTGCAGGTGGATTATTTATCAGTGAGCCACCTGGGAAGCCCATGATATCACTTATTATGTGACAAATGCTGTGCCAAGCGCCTTAGGCATGCTCTCATTTACTCCTGAGCAATGACATGAGCTTTACTGAGGGGATCAATCCTTATACAATAGGGAAAACGCAAATTGATCCTTCTCAAGAACACCGATGAGTGGAAAGGGCATCTGGGCATTAAAGAGTTAACAGAGCAGGACTTCCCTGGCAGTCCAGTGGTTAGGACTCTGTGCTCTTACTGCCTGGTCAGGGACTCACAAAACAAATAAAAAGAGTTAAGGTAACAGACCTGAGTATGCTTTCCTTAGAAAAGCCTGTCTATAAGGTTGGCCTTGGCTGGTGACTAAGACCTTGGATTTCAGGGGGGTTCCCACCATTCCCAGAACTGGTAAGAGTGGGGTTCACTGGGCCTAAACTGTTCCTACAAACAGTGTGGTTTATGCTAAGCACCTGCTTTCCTTCTGAGAGTCTGGAGTTTTGGTATGTGCTGGGCAGAGGATGCCTACATGACCAGCCTCAGTAAAAACCTAGGGCATTGTGTCTCTGATGAGTGTCCCTGGTAGACGATATTTCACATGTGTGGTCACAACTTGTTGCTGGAGGAATTAAGCATGACCCATGTGACTGCACTGGCAAAGGACTCTTGGAAGTGTGCTCCCGGCTGTCCCGTGAATTCTCCTAGGGAATCAGTGAGACTGGGGGTGGTCTTGGGGACCCCCCCACACAATGTCACACTGAAAGAGAAGGAACACTGGTTCCAGCCCAGATCTTGAACTCCACTTACCAGTACTTTGTGACTTTTGGCAAAGTATTTAAGCTCTCTTAAGTCAGACACGACTGAAGCGACTTAGCAGCAGCAGCAAGCCTCTGTTTCCTCATCTGTAAAATGGGGGGACGCTAGAACCCACTTTATGCGGTTGTCATGACAACTAAATGAATTGCCATTTTACAGTATTCAAAACAGTGCCAGAAATGTCCTCCCACCATTTTTACCCAGTGCCCTAAGATGCCACATCCTCTTTGAATGAAGAGATCCGTCAACTATTTATGCTAAAGTCCTGTAGAGTGTTACCACTGCCAGAGACTTCCTCTTAAGAAGAATTCAAAAAAGAAAAAAAAAGAAGAGTTCAGAAATGGCAATGCTTGGCCAAATGTATAAATCTATGATTGTAGAATTTTGAACAAAAATATGCCAGCAAGGAATTCCCTGTTGGTCCAGTGATTAAGAATCTACCTTCCAATGCAGGGGACACATGTTTGATCCCTGGCACAGGAAGATGCCACATGTTGCGAAGCAAGTAAGCCCATGTGCCACAACTACTGAGCCGTCAAGCTGCAACTACTGAAGCCTGCGTGCCTAGAGCCTGTGCTCCACAACAAGAGAAGCCACCGCAATGAGAGGCCCAAGCACAATGAAGCACAATCCCCGCTCACCACAACTAGAGAAAGCCTGCGCCCAGCAATGAAGACCCAGCGCAGCCAAAAAATAATTTTTTTAAAAATGCCAGGGGGATACATTATTAGAGGGAGGAAATGGCCTTCCCAGAGCCCCTTAAAGTACAGAAGCTACTTCACCTATTTTGGGGCCACTATGTAACTATAGGAATTGTGAGTTTCTGAGAAAACTACTCTTGACAATATGCATTTCTAGTTGGGGCTGGCTTCTAATAGTTGCAGTGATTTGCTGGAATCATGTCACTTCCCATAGAGGGTCTGGGGAAAAGTTATACTGTGGTTTGGAGGTGCTCAAATCTCCCACTGAATGTTGGCAATTAGCTGGGTAGGTATGTGGACCAGCAGGTCCTAGGGAGTGCCCACAGCTGTCATGCACCCAGTCAAGCACAGGGTACCTCTGTGTATTGGTAGCCATGTCTGGACCAGCAGAGGTATTGTGTTAGACTGGGCAGCCTAGGTCTTCCAAACTGTGGTCTGGAGGGTCACAGAGGCCTGTCATGGACAGTGCAGACCCTCAGAAACTGATTGGGAAGGGCTTTTGACAAGCACAATCCTCAGGGGAAAAAAATGGTGTTGGATACAAGGAATGGATGAGATTGAAGCAGATAAAAGGGTTAAAAAAAATTAAATGAGGGAAACTGAAGGGTTTTCTGAATTGAGTGTTCAAAAGTTACAATTCATCTATAAATGGTTGGGTTGAGTCTGCTTTTTTTTTTTAATAGTTCTAGAATGTAGGACTCCTTATCCCCAACCTAGGACTTAGGAGTCAGTTTATCCTCAGTTTTATTTGCTTATTTTTTTGCCACACCACTTGGTTTGTGGGATCTTAGTTCCTTGACCAGAGAGCAAACCTGTGCCCTCTGCATTAGAAGCATGGAGTCTTAATCACTGGACTGCAAGGGAAGTCCTGAGTCTGCTTTCTTAATTAAAGCTGATGCCACCCATATAAGATGAACTTAATAAATGTGTGTGTTCTAACTGCTCCACCAAAAAAAAAAAAAAGCTGATGCCATCTTCTTAAACCCTTAGGGTTCTTCCCCTACTCTGACTATGAAGAAGGCGGCACCCATTTCGATCCCTCCTACCTTTCTCTCCACCCTGCTGATATTCCTAAACAGAAACCACCAGCCACTTTTGCTTGCAGGATGATGGTGGCAATCACTCGAAGAGACAGACGGGGAGAAAACAAAAATAAAACAGCAAACAAATAAGCAAAATATAGAGTGGTTACAAAGGTTTAGTATCTTATGGAGGCCATGGTCACATCAAGTTCTGACTTGTGGATGAACACCTTAGCCTAATGGTTATGGGTGTGGACTCTGCATCCAGACACACCTAGGTATAAAACTTACTGCCACTTCTAGATGAACAACCTTGAGTAAGTGTCCTTCCCTTCTATTCTCAGTCTCCTGTCCTTCCTATGAAATGAAAAGAAAAGGAGTAACTTCTACCACCAGGTTATCAAAGGCTCCAATAAGATGAAAGAGGTAGAACACTTACCCTGGTATTTTGATATGTGGTTAACATTCTATGGGCTTCCCTTGTGGCTCAGCTGGTAAAGAATCTGCCTGCAATGCAGGAGACCTGGCTTTGATCCCTGGGTTGGGAAGATGCCCTGGAGAAGGGAAAGGCTACCCACTCCAGCATTCTGGTCTGGAGAATTCGATGGACTGTATAGTCCATGGGGTCACAAAGAGTTGGACACAACTGAACGACTTTCACTTCACTAATATTCTATACATGTTATCTAACATTTTTATCAATAGTACACCCCTAGACTGATTCTAGAACAGGCATTGGCAAATGATAGCTCACTGTCTCTTTTTGTACAGCCCACAAACTAAGACAGTATTTACAGATGAACTTTCACAATCGATTTGAGAGAAAACTTTGAACCTCAACTAAGTGAAATGTTATCTCCCCAACAAAGAATTCCATTCTTCTCATTAGTAGGCCTGTACTACCAAAAAGTACTCAATTCTCTGGTAGTCCATTGGTTAGAACTATGCTTTTGCTGCCGAGGGTGCAGGTTCAATCCCTGGTTGGGGAACTGAGATCCTACAAACCATGTGGAGCAGCCAAATTAAAAAAAGAGAGAGATGAAATATAGAGGCAAATGTAACAACCCCATTGACTCCACATCTCCTTATTGGCCACTGTTCCCGTTCAAAAGGCCAAAACCCAGAGGCTCTTATAAGCATTCAGATGAGCTTGGCAAGACTTGAGTTAATCAGTCTTGGGCAAGGGCCATTCCATCTTCTGATGAGGCCAGCAACCATTCTCTAGTACACCCAACACCCACTTTCCTTAGGACCTTATGTTGTGGCAGGGCACAGTGTCACGAGCACCATCACAGAACGTGTACAAATCAGATGGGCCCAATTAGTCAGAGAACATGGGGCTTTCTCGAGACTCCCTTTCCTGCAAGTCTGGCATGGCAGTCACATCCCTGGCTAGACAGAAGCACTCCTATCCTCAAAGCCCCAACTGAATCATCCAGAGGGACTCTTGGAGGCTGATACGAACCAGCTTCCTCACTGCCCGTGTTCCCACCAGGTCCAATGCTCCCTCAACCCTGGCCTGGCTTGAGGAAAACAGACACAGGAGCAGCTGGCATAGTGCACCACTCAACTCCCCAGTGGCTAAGAAATTATCTCTTGAAAGAAGCACAAAGTCTACTGGAATGTGTTAAGGTCCACGCTACCCACTCTAAAGGCAGAAAGTGAAGAGGAACTAAAGAGCATCTTGATGAGGGTGAAAAAGGAGAGTCAGAAAGTTTGCTTGAAACTCAGCGTTTAAAAAACTAAGATAGTGGCATCCAGTCCCATCACTTCATGAAAAATAGAAGGGGAAAAAGTGGAAGCAGTGACAGATTTTATTTTCTTGAGCTCCAAAATCACTGCGGATGGTGACTGAAGCCATGAAATTAAAAGACGCTTGCTCCTTGGAAGAAAAGCCATGACGAACCTAGATTGTTTGTTGTTGTTGATTAGTCGCTAAGTCATATCCAACTCCTTTTCAACCCCATGGACTGTAGTCCAACAGGCTCCTCTGTCCATGGGATTTCCCAAGCAAAAATACTGAAGTGGGTTGCCATTTTCTTCACAAGGGGATCTTCCCAACCCAGGGATCAAACCCACATCTCCTGCATTGGCAGGTAGACTCTTTATCCCCTACCCC